GGTCACGTATACGCGTACCGTGCCCTTCACGTATACGCGTACCGTGCCCTTGCAGCTTCACTGAGGCAGCGGCGTGCGCGCCAGAGTGCCCCGATTTTCTGAGCCATCTTGGCTGCCACTTCGTCAATGTACTCCTTGAATGTCAAAGCGCTGTCCACGGTCACTCCGAGATACTTGACTGAGGAGGCTTCTGGGAGGGGTGTTCTGTCGCAGGTGACTTTGATCGGTGGTATTGGCTGTTTGCGTCCGGCATACACTGCTAGGAGATGACTCTTTGTCTCGTTGAGAATGAGGCCACGTTGACGTAGCCAGTCACTGAGCTTTGTGACTGCTGTGGAGAGATTAGCTGAGATGACATCCGTTGACGTGTGGCTGAATTGAATCTCAATGTCGTCAGCAAATTGGATTTACTTTGCTGGCTCTACAACCGATGGGACATCCCGGGTATAGACACTGAACAGCAGGGGGCCAAGCACTGAGCCCTGTGGAACACCACATGTACACGGCTTCATGCCACTTTGGAGGGTGCCAAATCGGACATACTGCTGTCGGATGCTGAGATAGCTGGCAATCCATGACAATGCCCTGCCAGTTACGCCAACCTCAAACAGATCCTGTATCAGGACATGGTGACGCACTTTGTCGAAAGCTTTCGACATGTCCAGAAAGCATGCACCCGTGTGGAGCTTCTGGTCCTTAGCAGCAAGCAGACCATCTGTGAGTACTACAAGGGCCTGTTCGGTGGAGTGCCTGGCTCCGGCTAAAGGCATACTGTGTGACGGGCAGCACATTATTCGCCTGAATCAAGTCTGCCAGTTGTCGCTGAACCAACTTCTCCAGCAACTTAGACACAATCGGTAGAAGGGACACCGGACGGTAGTTGGTTGGTACTGAGGGATCGCCGGATTTGTACAGTGGTCTCACCAATGCCGTCTTGAAAGCTGAGGGAACGACGCCTGTAAATAACGAGACACTAAATATTTCACAGAGGGAGGGTGCAAGAAGATCGGCACAGCTCTTCAGGAGCAGCCCTGGTATGCCATCACTCCCCGTTGCCTTCCGGGGATTAATCCTGCAAAGCAGTTTCAATACTGTGGCTAGATCTGGGCACTGGAAACACTGGATACCGTTCCGGTCATGGGGGCCACTGGGGATTTCAAGATGAAGTGGTCGTGTAGTGTCTGTAACGATTTGATGGAACGCATCGGAAATAGAGTCTGCACTGCATGTCGGCGTCTGGTTTGGTTTTCTTCGCCCTGTCACGGCGTTGATAACACTCCACATCCTCCGAGGGTTTTGAGCACTGTCTTGGCATTGCCTTGAGAAGTACGCATTTCTTTTCCGTCGATACGCCGTCGAAGCGTCCGACCTAGCTTGCTTGAACTGCGCATAAAGGGCAGTATCTGCTTTGTTGCGGAGCCATCGCCTATGGAGCCGTGTTTTGCGCTGGTGTAATTGGTATAGTTCTCTCTCTGACCATGGCTGGGTGGGATGGGAGCGCCGGTGAGTCTGTACCATTGGCGCATGCCTATCCAGGACGGCCATAAACTGGGTGTGCCAATGTGCCCACATCTCATCTATCGTGGATTGGGGATGGAACTCACCCAAGTCTGATGCAGCAATGTCTTCGCGAAAAGACTCAATGTCGATGGTGTGGACCAATCGAACTTGGTTCTTGGGGGTGACTAATTTCCGCTGCAGTGGGTGTTGCGAGGAGGGTAGAGACAGACTTGCATGCACAAGAAAGTGATCGCTGATCGTGCAGGGTACAACTTTGCAGTGACTTATAGTACCAAGAGTGGGGGGTTATGTACTCTTGATAGTACCCATGGTGGAGAGCACTAAATCCAGCAGTGTTCCATCCGGACATCGGGGTGTGACTCGGGTGGCAGACTGGACGTAGTTTTGGAGCCCATATGATCCGATAAGGTCCAAGAAGCGCTGGTGAGGACGAATGATCATGCCTTGAGCAAGATTGATATTGAAGTCACCCACCAGTGTCATTGATGGTGTGATTGTGGCAGCATTGTGGAGGACTGAGTCCAGGTGGCCCCAGAAATCAGCAGTTGCATTCGGTGGGCGATAGAGGCAGTCTTTGTGAGAAAGGTCTCACGACTATTTTAACTAGACCAGCAAAGTTTTACTCTTGGTTTTACTCTTAGGCTGTTTTAGGTCCGTTGCACACTACGTATAAGAGTCTACGAGCGCGGTCCACTATACAACTAGTAATAGTAGTATAATAATTAGTTGCTCATGAGTTTTGTTCAGTGCACACTGCACATACATGTATTATGTACATAGCTCACTTGTTGTTTACGTGAATCGTCATGACAACGAGGATGCACGGCAATTATTTTTGCTGTCCTTTTGTGCTATTCATGACCTTCGACCTTTGTACTTTGGCGGACTGGCGCACCCTGCGCATGCGATGGAGTCAGTGGTTTACTTACTGCTTTTTTCTTCAGTTCAAACCTTGATTTTGTCGAGGAGATCGAGAAAGAAGTCGTGCACACACCTGAAGCAATGAATATCTGGGATGACGGTAGAAGGCCAGTGCTGCCAACCAATTGGGTCTGTTTTGCGCAGTGCGACTTCTGATTTTCCGTATTTGCAGCGTTTTTCCGTACTACCAATGTAATGCGGCATTGCTTCCAATAGGGAGTATTGTACTACTCCCTGGCTTGTACATGTACTACTACCCGGACTATTTGCGGAATCGCACACTAAGCGCAATCGTCAATGGACAGGAATCTGCTCAATTCCAGATTAAAGCTGGCGTACCCCAAGGCAGCATCCTGGGACCCACCTTATTCTTGATGTATGTCAACGATGCTGAGACCTGTCTTTCCCCATCAACACGAATGGGTGTGTACGCAGATGACACCACGCTGTACACCATCATACGATCCAGACATGACTCTGCTGGCAGTATTGCAGACATGCAATCTAGCCTGGATCGATTGAGTAGCTGGGGAGAACAATGGCGAATTCGCTTTGAGCCGACAAAGTCGCAGCTGCTGCATATTGGCCACCACCGCAACCCCTGGCCACTCCCAGACCTAACGTTCGGAGCCCATGATATTCCCTGTGGGGACGAGCTGAAGCTTCTGGGAGTGACCTTCGACAGCAAACTCACCTTCAGACGCCACCTCCGCAATGTTTCTCTTCGTGCCGTAGCCCGACTAGGATTTCTGCGTCGAGCATCAAGTTTCCTTGGTCGTGAAGGACGCTTGACAACGTACAGAGGCTTCGTACGCCCTGTACTCGAATACGCACCATTGACATGGATGGGCGCAGCCAACTCTCACCTGCAAAGTCTCGACCGAGTACAGCGGAAGGCCCTTGCTATCATTGGTCCTGACGCCTTGCTGCAGAGCCTAGCTGCCCGCCGCCAAGTGTACGCTCTCACGTACATGTACAAGCTAATGTGCCTTCAAGACCATCCAGATCTCTCTGCGCTCGTGCCGCCTCGCCAGGAAGCTAGCCTCGTCCCGCGGACAAGGTCGCAGCTCCGTATCCGCCACCAGCATCAGCTACAAGCAGTGCTCCTCCCTACGGCCCCCAACTTTCTCCAGCGTTCGTTCCCATATGGTGTAGTGGATGAATGGAACAGGCTTCCGCAAGACATGTTTCCGGATCCGATGCCCCAGTTGAAGTCTCTCCAATCCTTCAAGACGAAGGTCCATCGCCACTTGCGTCAAAAGAATTGGCTCTGGGCTACGGACTCCCTGTGAGGCTATGCCACCCGTCAATGAGCAACTACCCTCGTCCATCATCTCTTTCTTGTTTTATATTTATTTATTTCTCTTCTCATCTCTTTCTTGTTTTATTTTATTTCTCTTCTCATCTCTTTCTTGTTTTATTTCTCTTCTCATCTCTTTCTTGTTTTGTTTTATTTATTTCTCTCTCTCTCTCCCTCCCTCTCTCTCTCTCTCTCTCTCTCTCTCTCTCTCTCTCTCTCTCTCTCTCTCTCTCTCTCTCTCTCTCTCTCTCTCTCTCTCTCTCTCTCTCTTTCTCTGTCTCTCTCTCTCTCTCTCTCTCTCTCTCTCTCTCTCTCTCTCTCTCTCTCTCTCTCTCTCTCTCTCTCTCTCTCTCTCTCTCTCTCTCTCTCTCTCTCTCTCTCTCTCTCTCTCTCTCTCTCCCTCCCTCTCCCCCCCTCTCTCTCTCTCTCTCTCTCTCTCTCTCTCTCTCTCTCTCTCTCTCTCTCTCTCTCTCTCTCTCTCTCTCTCTCTCCCTCCCTCCTCCCCCCTCTCTCTCTCTCTCTCTCTCTCTCTCTCTCTCTCTCTCTCTCTCTCTCTCTCTCTCTCTCTCTCTCTCTCTCTCTCTCTCTCTCTCTCTCTCTCTCTCTCTCTCTCTCCCTCTCTCTCTCCCTCCCTCTCCCCCCCCCCCCCCTCTCTCTCTCTCTCTCTCTCTCTCTCTCTCTCTCTCTCTCTCTCTCTCTCTCTCTCTCTCTCTCTCTCTCTCTCTCTCTCTTTCTCACTTGATCTCCCTCCCTCCCTAGCTGCATTCCTAACGATGCCTGGTCGTAGGCTATGATTCCGAGACCTCCGGTCGGATGAGCCTCGCCAACCACATCGGCACATCGCCCCTACTCCCCTTTGTCTTGTTGTCCAGCGTCATTTCAGTTGTCCTCTTCCCCTGATTATTAGTAGGGCTGTGTTTTTTAGTAAAAAAAAAAAAAAAAAAAAAAAAAAACTACTACTACATGACTTTGTTATTAATAAGCCAAACTGTAGTAAAATGACTGACTGTGCATACGGGAATGTGTACGGGGCCGGGGCCTAGCGCTATGCTATACTACTAGTACTAGTACTACTACATGTACTACTACACAGTACTAGCTAGCGCCAGCGCCTGGCTGCAGGGTACACATGCATGTGCGCGTGCGTCAAACTCCACATGACGCCATGACATCATCCAAAACAATCATTGAAGTAAAAGAATTGTGATGGCCGCCAAACGCCATTTTTGCTTGGCGCAGCTCGCAGCTAGCCGGCCCTTCCATATCGACAACTCAGCTTTGATTTTTCAGGCAACTAAAATTTACTTCCTCCAAGTAACTTTCTCCTTTGAGTTTGACTTCACTTGTTGCATTTCTATTCTCCGTCTCCCAATTTCAGTCATAATGAGTCAGTACATTGTTATTACCGACGATGAAAGCAAGCCCGATAGTCTTGTCGAGGTTCCTCTTGAGGAAGATGGAATGCTTCTTGTAACAACGCTCGAAAGTCAGTTCGCTGGAGCTTCTGGTCTCAAGTACCGAGCAGCATCAGGAGCTTTCCGTGGCCTTAGAGTGGCTGACGACAAAGTCCATCCACCTACAGAGGGATGGGAAACAGCTGCTAATTATGTGGTTGTCTGTACAGGTAAGCACACAAGTCAGGAGGTCTGGCCAGTTAGGACTGCTGGAATAGAGGGCTGGTGAAACTTTACAAAAACTCCTTGCTGTAGCCAATGGCCCTATCGCTAAGTATTTTCTTGTTCGTATTCACATATGGCAAACTTGCCCCGGTACTACTTTGGAATGTTGTTACAGAGCCTGGCAGTTGCCTTTCCGCTGCGATAGTCTTTTCCTTTTTTCTTTCAACCTGGAAACTGCTGTGTTGAACCTATTTTGCTAGTCCTAGTATGCATGGAGTCACGGATACATGTACCTGTAAATCTACAGCACTTGTACTGGTACATGTTCGTGTATTTGTATGTGGCAATGACTGCTCATCTACATGATTGCCTTTAGAATATTGTGTGTGTGCATGCATGGACTGGTATTTCGTTGATGCTGGGTATACTATGCAATACTGTCTCCCTTGTACTGAGGCTGCATTGCACTCAACTACCATTTCCCCAAAAATATTACACCTGTTCTCATCCGTGAATGGATGTTTTTTTTTTAGGGCTGAAACGATCGTGGATTTTCACCTATCGATTACTCTTGAGCTTAACGATCGATTTATCGATTATAATCGTTAGCAGATAGTGTCAGAATTTTGTGCAAACATTGCTCTGTTTCCGAAATCTAAGCCATCATAATACCACAAATTTGCATTAGTGACATGGTATCTCAGAAACATGGTAGTTATAAAGTCAATTTAACCTCAGAATGTGCACCATGCCCCTGGCAACTGCATACTCACAGTGGAAACTGATTCAAACTTCACAAAAACAAGGGTTTTCAGTACTTTTTGGACTCAAAATTCCTAACGAGTAATCTATAACGTAACGATTACTTGATTGATAAGGAATTATCGATCGATTACCGAGTAATTGGTATAATCGTTTCAGCCCTATTTTTTTTTATAGCGCTGATATTTCCCAACTTTGTGTCTATGCTTGTTAATGTTTTCAGCGAAACGTAAGGCTGACTCCAGCCTGGACGGCCCACCAGCCAAGTTGTCGAAGTCCAGGGTCGAGGAGACAGATGTTACGGACAGTGACCTCATTGTACTCGGCATTCCCTACACGTTCACAACTGCCGACCTTCAAGCATTCTTCTCGCAGTTTGGACAACTAAAGGTGTGCCAGGTATGTTGACAACCGGTGCTTATGTGCTTACCCTGTCGCTGGGTGGGTGTGCATCTAAAATGCCAATTGTATCACTATTTTAAACAGCTGACATAGATAGACTCACTCAGATCAACGTTTGCTTCCTCATTGGTCATAGGTTGTCCTTGATAACAAGACTGGACAGTCGAAGGGCTTTGGCTTCATTCGCTTCATGGATGGGGAGACTAACAAGTCGGTGGAGGCGACGAAATTCTACCAAGTCGGTGGCCGTCGTTGCGAAGTCAAGCTCCCTCAGAGACGGGTGAGTTTGCTGTGTGTGCGTGTGTATGTGCAAGGTAGTGTGTTGCTGGTGTCATTGTTTAGGTATGCAGTACCTTTATGTCTGTAGTTATGGTTGATAGTTAGTTGCCTGTGTGGGTAGCAAAAGCCGGCGTGTTAAGTGAATGTGGTATGAGTATGTGTGTGTATGTATGTGCCTGTGCTGTGTACTATTATTTATTCACTAGAGTACCGGTGGCCAGTCAAGTGTCACCAAGCTCTTTGTCGGCTGCCTGACGCAGCAGATCACGCGCGACGATCTCCTAGCCTACTTTGCAATGTATGGTGAGGTGACGGATGTGTACGTGCCAAGCCCGTTCCGTGGATTTGCCTTTATTACGTTTGCTGACCCACGTGCGGCCAGTGCTGCTCTGGATACTGGCAATCACGTCCTGAACGGTGTGCAGATCAATGTCACCGTGCCCAACCCACGCAAGAAGGAGCAAAACAACTCTCAGCAAGTGGCCAATGCATTTGCGTCGCAGGCGCTAACATCTCAGGCCCTACTGCAGCAGCTCGCTTTGGCAGGCACAGGACTGAACAGTGCCAGCTTGTCGGGTGCTGCTGGCTTAGGTGCAGCCGGATTAGGTCTCGATCTCAACACGCTATCAAGTTTAGCTACCCTTGGAGGTGCAGCTGCCCTGGGAAATCCTGCCGCGACAACTACAACGAAGACAGCACCAACAACCTCCTACAAGTGGTAACAGGGTTTCTTGTTGTAATGATAGGTCTGTGGGTGTCTGTGTGTGTGTGTGTGTGTGTGTGTTCCTGCGTGTGCCTGTGTGGGTGTGTCTGTGTGTGATGATGATGATGTGTGCATGGCTCAATGAGTGTTGTGAGCTACCCGCCATACTAGGCATTTGTACATACTAAGCCCTCGTCTTTATCCTTTAGTGCTCATTTTTTATCATATTCTGTGTTTGCTTTGTGTGTGTGTGTGCGTGTTTGATTATAATTTGTAGGCTCTTAATTCACCTAGCCTGCCTGCACTTATGGTGGTCTATTTTAGCGGTGTATGCTCCTGTTTAGGATTTGATTGTTTTGATACACATGCGCTTGTGTGATGCTGTTGCCATGCTGTACAAAATTACCATCACTGGCTCTACTAATTCTGACCTGTGTGTGCGCGCCTGTGCATGTGACCCGGTGTCATGTGGTGGCTGTGCATGGTTATATGGAGTTTGCGGGTGTGCTTAGCGGTGGAGGCGAATGCAGCACATGTTGCATGCGCATGTAGTGGTCGGAGTGTCACGTCGAAGACGCTGGTCGGTGCGCATTCTTGCGGTGCTTGTGGTGTTTTGCCTGGGCAGTTCGTATAGAACTGATTGTCCGTACACGCGTTGGTTTCTTATTTGACACGCGGTGCTGGGCGGTATTTGTCGGCGCGTCCGCGGCTTTGAAGTTTTGGTGAGCTGTCTTGCAGGACTTGTGCGGGCTTGCGTCGGTGCTGGGCGGTATGGTTGGCTTTGAGAGCACGCAGAACAGGATACATGCGGTTGTGATGGACTGTGCAATGAGTGGCATGCCATTATGTTAACAGGTGCCTTCACCGCCGTTAGTCCGTACGTTATTGGACGTCGTCTTGGTTCTTTCCTGGCAATCTCTAGTCCCTAGTCCAGCGTAAGAAGCAGTTATCACTACTTTGTGCTTTAGTGCTTATTCCTTCTCACTGAGTCATGGAAGATACCGTACAGGTAAGTAAAGGGCGATGCGAGAATCTTGAATCTTATGCATTCCCAGTGAACATGAGAACAGAGAATGGGCTGGAGAAAACAAGAAACATCCTAAATGATTGTGTTCCTTACAGCATCATAGACCCTGTGCCCCTCCTCGCTTACCTATTCACTGCCTGACATATTATCAGTGCTGTAATATTGGTGTTCTGCTCTATGTTACGGGAACGCGAAGAATCCCGGGAACGCTCTTCACGTTCCCGTATTATAAACAAAACCGTTTCTGCTCTATATATACCATGTATTAAATGCGCCGAAGGATGTATTGCAATTACATAACTTGTACTTCAAAGTATGTACCTAGTAGCAAAAGCCAATAAATACTGTTTATAAATTACTCCTTTTTAGGGTAAAGTGCAGTGGAAAAATACTAAAACTTTTCATTTTCACTGGTTTGAGGGAAAGACGCAAAAAGTCTGAAGAAAAATTGACTGTCACCACCAAGACTCGAACCATCCCAGCAGAGGCCGTTCAACATTTTCTTCAGACTTTGTAACTCACACTTCCCGTGAATCCACACAGACGTGCGGGTGGGACGCAGACCTCACTGTAACCCACACACTTTACGTACAAACTAGCACGTGGGGAGCCCAAGTCCTTTTGTAAAAACCATCAGTAACCCCGAAGTATGAACGATGTTTGTTTCAGGGACTACAAAGAACTTTTGTGACATCCCCTACATGTAAGCCCGCTGTTAGTGCTGACATACATAGAACCACCTGGTTAAAAACAGCACTGACATCGGGTTCTACGCCCGGTTGGGCTGTCCATGAAAAAGGATTGTGTTAAAAACTAACTTCGAGAAAATGTTGGTTGGGCGACCCTAGCAATATAAAGTTGCAACTGTAAACCTAGGTGTATAGTTCCGGTTGGTCATGTTTCAATAGGAGATCTTCCTGCATAAACGTGTATGTTTTTTTTTAGGGAGGTGAGACGGGTCTGTGTAGAAATGAACAAAGTTGAGATTACCTTGAAAAATATCGGTATTTATGAATGGTCCCCTACTGAAATTGGGTAAAAAATGAGACTAAAGAAACACAATAATTTGAGGTTCAAGGAATGCCAGCTAATTTCCACGAACGCCACACTGCGTCGTAAAAGAGCATACGTGAAACTAAAAATATGATAAAAATACGAGGTCATGAATACAGCAGGCTAGATTTTCGTGGGGTGCGATCAAGTCATTGTATTTCATAGTAGCGGTAAATGCATCTTTGTTGGGAGGAACCAGCCCCACACACATTGTACTGTAGAATATTATGTTGAACGTGACAAGCCGATATCTCAATAGATCGAGACATTGGTTGGTGTATGTACTAGTTGTATTTTGTAATAAGCTGCAGTAGCTGGTGGAGGTGAAAACAATGCTGCTGCTGCCGCTTTACTTGAATCCTGCCAAGTGGAATAGTAGCGTATTGAAACCTGTGCCAGCGAATATACCTGCACAGAGAAAGCAGGAACACACGCACACACACACACGTTTGTCCCTTTGTGCATTTTTCCTGTCCTGGGTTTGGCATGCCCATCGTAGCATCATCAGGCCAGCATGCAGCACAGTCATAGCAGGCACTGGGGTGCAAAAAGGCAAACAGCAACGGGAGTGATGTGTGTCATACAGCACCAGGCCTTACCAAGTGATATTGTCAAACCAGCAATGTTGATACACAGCTCCCGGTCTCCATCCGCTATATTCGTATCCGAGCGCAGCAGATTGAACGTATTCACGTAGGACGCACCTAAAGGAACAGAAAACAAAGGAGTGCCCACTAAGATGGATTCTAACTCCCCAACACCAATATGCACAGCATTCTGATCTGAAACATTGCATCATTGCATCGGTGTGAACATGTTTGTTCGGACGTGCATGGGCGTGTGAACGCGTCTCTGTATTGCTGGCATGTAGTGAAATGGGTACATATGGTGTGTAGTGAGTGGCGTCATGCAGTCGTGTACGGCAAAGGAGTGCCCACTAAGATGGATTCTAACTCCCCAACACCAATATGCACAGCATTTTGATCTGAAACATTGCATCGGTGTGAACATGTTTGTTCGGACGTGCATGGGCGTGTGAACGTGTGTCTGTATTGCTGGCATGTAGTGAAATGGGTACATGTGGTGTGTAGTGAGTGGCGTCATGCAGTCGTGTACGGCTGGCACATGAAAAGCGTATGCGACTCTTGTTGCTATAGGGCCTTCAGTTGTTCACACAGTGAGCTGGTACTCTTCTCACCTCCGAGCAGTCCAACAAATATCATGTAGGCAGGTAGCACAGCGACAGGCATGAAGTGATTCTGCACAAGTGACCACAGACCAACAGCACAACAGAAACATCACCGCATGAAGTGTTTCTCCGCAAGAGAACACAGCCCAGGACAACAGAAACCCTGCATGAATAGTTGAATACGGACCAGCACAATAGAAACATCACTGCCACACGCTGGCAACAATGCCGTGTAGATCTTATCCAACTGTTTACAGCGAAGCTGGCAGCCGTGAACAGGTTCACACACGTCGCATCAACCTACTGCACATCCATGACTGAATCAGTAGTGGCCGCTGGAGTACGATATCACCTACTGCACATGACTGAATGAATCAGTAGTGGCTGCTGGTGTACGATATCGTTCTCGGGTACAGTGCTGTAGCGCACACTACAGCCTACACGTGTGTGTGTGCTTGCGTGCGTGCGTGTGTGTGTGGCATAGTTTCACAAACACAGTGCCATATCTGAGAACGACCCAGTACACTGTCCCCGGGGAAAATTGCGGGAAAAAATCGCAAAAAACGCGGGGAAAAATGCGGCATAATAGGGAGGTTTCGCTCTACGGAATTACGTATGAAAATAACGTAGGAACTGCACGGAATTTTCATACGTCAAAATCAGAGCTGTTGGGTTTCGCTCTACGTGATTTCTCCACGACTGCTAAACATGCGTTGTTGCTTTGGAGACGCGTTGGCTGCATGCGCCCACCGCGTGCACCATGAACCGAAACCGCGTTTTCCATCTTATTTTGCACGTGGTGTACGGTGTGTGTACCTTGTGTTTCGCGCGGCTTGAACGTTGCCATGGACAAATGCGGAAAATGCGAAAAATATTTCAAAAAATCCTACGGAGGACCCAACGTAGGAAAGAGCTTTCCTACGGAAATCCATAGAGAGATTTACGTATGAAAGTTGCCCTCGATCCCCGGCGCGTACGACATACGGATTTTCATACGTAATTACGTAGAGCGAAACCTCCCTAATATGGCATAATTTGCGGTGAATTTGCGGTAAGGGAGCATCTCATAAGTTCGCACTTTTTTTGTAAACGTAACGCATTTCGAATAGACTTTACCCCCCTACCTCCCCCCTCTATTTGAAAGTCTTATCGCACATTTTCCGTGTGGATCTAATACATGTACATGTACTGTGCATGTCCATGCCATGCATGTCCATGCACATGTATGCACATGAATGTCAAAGTGAATGGCATACAGTCTGCATCTAAGTACTGAGTACAAGAAATGACATGTACACGCACATAAACAGAGTTCCCCCACAACCATTGTGTACTGTAAAAGCTGGCCAGGTACACAGTTTGATGATGCTGATGTGACACTTGACACCTCTGAGTAGCCTGTATGCATGCAGTGCAAGGCATGATCTCCAAACACAGGCACATACTGTGACATAGCTCTACACCTAAACACGCTCATTTTGCTGAAGCGCTCTAGCACATGCACTGCATGCACAGTATGTACACATCCAGGAAATGTGCGAATTGTCATTTTTCTATTCGAAAAGGGCGTTACCCCCCTACCCCCGTTTCGAAATGCGTTACGTTTAGAAAAAAAATGCGAACTTATGAGATGCTCCCTAAGTATGCGGTGAATAATATTGATGTGCGGCAATTTTCAGTGAGTATGTAGTGAAATCAATCAGTTACAAGTCTCTGGTGTAAGCACTCGTCATATTTGAGTAAAAAGCCGCCACGATGAGACGTTGCTGACCGAACAGTGCACTGTGTGTACGTGTAGAGCAACAAAAAAGTTCAAAAACGCGGGAAAATCGCGGAAAACGCGGTCTTTTAAAAAATCGCAAAAATCGCGGAAAAAACGCGGCCGCGGAATCGCAATTTCCCCCGGGGACAGAGTACATACCGTATAGGCGTAACGGGGCTCTATTTTTCCAGAAGACGCATCGAGGGGGGTTATATTTGAGAGAGGGCTTTATTCGAGAGGGGGCTCTATTTTCTAATGGAAATACCAACTGTTTCACACTATTCATGCTGATCAGTACATGCAGTGACTACAGTCGATCGTTGTACGGTAAAGTACCCGTAACTGCACTGCATAGTATGGACATTGTGCATTCGATTATAGCCCCGGGCTTTTATGCGATACGGGGCTTTATTATTCCGATTCCCTCTGACACACGGGCTCTATTTGAGAGGGGGCTCTATTCGAAGGGGGGCGTGTATTCGAGCGCGTACGGTACATGCGGAATACCCGCAAACTAACGCTGAACGATACTTGTACTAACTTGTATGTCGTAGTACTGCTAATCTGCCCCTTGTCGATTTTCTTCCTGTGAATCGACTTGAGGTATATAATGGTGTTGGGCCGATGCATCAGTACACAGCACATGTCCGGGCAGGTGCAGATTTGCCCTTTCCGGTTTATGTAGCACGCTCTTGGGGGCTATGCTGTCCCTCCAGGAACTTGCGATTCCGCGGCCGCATTGTTTTCCGCGATTTGAACAAAAGTCCGCGATATCCGCGATATTTGAAAAATCATCCGCGATATTGTAGAAAATTGTACTGTTGATACTTGAAAAGCACCCGCGATATCGATGTTGTTTAGTTCTTCAAGCTCGTCAGTAGTTTACTTGTGAGATAGACACCAGAATGGAGAAGTTTCTGGGCAAATCAGCGGCTGACAAGTCAGGCTCGCGTAGAGTGTTGTCCACGGATGGAGGAAAGCTGTCTTGCAAGCTCCTGTCAGGCAGTTGAACACAGTTGCAATCGAGTACAGCGCAGCACACGTGCATAATTTATGCTGTACGACTCGTACATTGCAGCACACTACAGTTCAAGTACTGAAGTACCAAAATCGGCCGCATTTTCCGCAATTTTACCACAATAATCCCGCAATATTTGACAAAATCCGCAATATCCCCCGCAATTTGTGGCATTTTACCTCGCAACTTTTTCCGCGGTATTTCCGAAATGTCTCCGCAAGTTTCTGGAGGGACAGGCTATGTACAGTCAGACCTCACACACATCCGTTTTCCACAAAAAAATATCCGGATAGGCGAGGGAATTGAACACACATTGTAAGTATCGGTGACCAACGATTTTCTTCCGGATGGCGAGGGATCCGGATAAAAGAGGAACGAATAAGCGAGGTCTGACTGTACTAGTATTCTTGCTGGTATGTATCCAAAGCACATACCAGAAAGACCTCTAAATGATCGCATTGTCGGTGAGTGAATGTTCATGCAACCTTACCCAAGCTATGATGATCCAGACGACCATGTTGATGGTTTGCAAGATGGTGAGAATACCCACTCGCTTGATCTGCACCAGTCCTAGCGATGATCGGGACACTAGCACACCAGCCTGAAAGTAACACAACACAAGCCATTGTCCTTCAGATCAAGGTGGCTGGCTGGTCTTGCCACCTTACAGTAGGTTCTGCGCCTTGCAGCATTCTGTCAATGTCGTACCTGGTGAACTCAGAAGTAGGGCGTAGTAAAATGCCACTTGAAAGATTACAACAGCATCATGTCAGGACAGGAAGGAAACAGGCCGGTACAAGTAGTAAGATTACACGTGCGCAGTACTGCACCTGCAGCATGCATCAGGGAGGGGCAGCGTACGGTCACTACGGTATTGACCGCACCACTATTTGACCCAAGTCTGTCCCTCCAGGAATCCGCGGAATTCATGTTTTTTTTTTAAATATCTCGCGGAATTCACAGTTTTCACCGCAGAATCGTGAAAATCACGGTTTGGGGGCAATGCGAGCACGCGCTTCATATTCATGCACAGTGCAGTGTCCTGTCGCTATTTTGTTGCATTCAAAGTCGAGGGAGTTTTCTTCGTTACTGTATTGAGCCTATCGTGTGTTTTCGACCACTAAATTTTTTATTGATACTTGTACATAGCATATAGCCATGTCTTTTCGCCGGTGCAGCGCCGCAGAAATACCGCAGTATTGCCGCAGAATTCATGCTATCCGCCGCATAATGTAGCGATTTGTGCCGCAGAATTCTGCGCAGAATTTCAACTTTCTGTCCGCGGATTCCTGGAGGGACAGCTGAGCACCCCGTGAATCAATAAAATCATTAAAATGCACTGATTTGGGCTCTAATTTCCCAAAATTTTCGCCTCGGCCACCCCTCCCCCACAAGTAAATTGTACTTCAGATGGCTGACCGTACCGCACTATCAGGGTTCGTAGCACAACATATACACAAAATTTCAGGGGATTTCCAGGGGCATTTCAAGGGTATTCACAGATGTCATACAGTCGCTAGACACCACATATCCGTAGCCACGCAGAGGTTCACTGATTCAGAATGTCAACAATCGAAGATTTGATCATCAGTACTACAAGTAGTAGAGCTGCCGTCACCATCACGCTTCTCCATCGCTAAGTTCTTAGCGAACTAACCAGTCTTTGTACGGGTCCAAAGACAACCAGCGATCGTTGAAAACACACTTGCCTTTCGGCATGGAGAACAAGTACAACTCTGTAAAACTTCTTCGGCATTCCGAAAAAAAAACTGAAGACACTTTGTCTTGTTGAAGGCCAAAACAAACAAATAAAACGGAAAAACAGTTGCAGTGGCGGATTCCAGTTTCGCTACAGTCAGGAACCGTCGTGCCGCAGTCGATAGTCGAGCGTACATGGCGATCAAGGCTCAAATGTAAAAAAAACACTGTAAAGTCTAAAGATCTACGCGAGCTGCGCTGGCCGCTGAGGCCGTCAACTCACATGACCAGTACAGGTGACCGGACTGGCACTCATAGATCTATGCATATCATGTACAGTCAGTCGCTGAGTACGGAGGTCTACCAGGTCGCGTGATCTGGAAAACAAATTTCAGGGGATTCAAGGAACATTTTCTATAAAATACAAAATTTGAGGGGATTTCAGGGAATTCCCGGGGGAAGAACAACTTTCAGGGTCTTCAAGGGTGCTACGCACCCTGCACTATATGTAAATCACCTTCCGACGCCCCTGTGTTCGAAACAAGGAGAGTAGGCAAGTCTCCTCTGAGTACCCGCCTCTCAGGTTCTACTGTACATACCTGGTAGCATAATTGGATAGCAGCATAGAACTCGGGACAAGTCGGTGTATAGATTGGATCACCCTGTGCAGGGAAAATGAGGTGGTAGATACCGCAGATTGCAGGGATATGAGAACGCAACACGGCATGAATAGTGACACCAGGGAAACTGCGACAGTCAACTTCGCTAATAACGACTGCGGATGTAACGACAATTCGCGAATAACGACAAAATTTTCATGCCCAGAGCAAAGTCCCATCCAACTGTGACACATATAATGAGATTTCGGGTATAACGGCACTTCGCGAATAAGGACACTTTTCTGAGTGTCGCCGAGTGTCGTTATACGCGAAGTTGACTGTATTCTAACATTCACCAATTTTCCGACAAATGCAGTTGAGGTTGACTTGCAAGGCCAGGTGACCCAGTACTCTTCTGGACAGCACTGTCACATTCAACGCTGTGTCGACCCCGAGTGATCCGTTAGGTCTTTACTTACCATGGCGACATGATGCACAGACATGAAGGCGGCACAGTGCACTTATGAAAAAAACTAGCAGTGAGAATGTTCAACCTGCAGAGACTAGTGCCTATTTACTGGCGGGCGAACCCATGGTGCGGATCAGTGCAAAGCATGTTCTACTTAGAATGGTTCACAAGAGTAATACCAAAATACAGCAATATATACTGAGACAAAATACTAGTGCATCGATGAAGTTGTAGAGCACCTTATTTTCGGTGTAACTTTAAACTTCGGTACAGAAACCAGGCACCTCAATTTAGATTACATCTAACAAGCTCCAGCAAGGTCACTGGTGCATTCAGGTCTAAATCTGGCTTTGAAACATAACAAAAAAACATTTTTCAATGCTATCAGGTTTGTGGCATTTTCTCTGTGTCTTGCTGATGTGTCCACATAGGAAGAAACAGTTCTGCCCGCAGACTGAGCACATATCCTAGCCTATAGGTTGACAGGTTATCATGGCAGTGAGTCAGCAATAACTACAAATACAGATACACTGTGGTCTAGTGCAGTACTGCCGGGTACCCAAGAACGGGGGGGGGGGGGGGGGGGGGCAGGGTTCTAGCCTAGCACATTCTTATTTTTAGCAAACACAGCAATTTCGTTCTTTTTCGATGATACACACTTCCATTACTGTAAAAGCCATATATATATAACGAAGTGCTAACTCTAACGAGTTAACGAGGAGAAATCTGTCGTTAAAATAGAAATCGTTATACAGAAATCGATACATATACTGTCCTATTGAGCGTGGAGAATGAGTGAGAATCGTTACCTTTGGTACACGTAAACTAGTCAAGTTTGGGAAATCGTTATATATGCGCCTCGTTAGAATAATGGCTTTTACATGTACATTTATGCTGAGTTATACATGCTGAGTGTACAATAGAGTGCATATTACGGTTTCCGTTCTTATCTGCAAAACATCTAGCCTACACCGTTCTTAAAAATTGGTGAAATTCTAGCCTGGCCGTTCTAGCCTGGCCGTTCTAGCCTGGCCGTTCCAGCCTGGCCGTTCCAGCCTGGCCGTTCCAGCCTGGCCGTTCCAGCCTGGCCGTTCCAGCCTGGCCGTTCTTCGGTGGTCCGACAGTACTGTACACCGGGTGATCAGAAAAACAACTCCTTTCGAAATACTCACTTTTTCTTTAGCTTTGGCTGAGCAACTGCGAGCCACATACTCCGTAAAGTACACCGCACCAAGCTGCAAATGGGCACACACACAGTCATAAAGAGTACAAGACCAGTTGCACTCACAACTTGGGATGAGTCTTTTCGAAAAGCCCCAAGCTTATCAGTCCCGGGGGGAAACGATACACCTTCAAGATTGCACAATGCAGTGATTTCAGAGGGCATGTTTACACGATACGCTAGGCTTAGCAAACTGTGCTCATCTGATAAACAGAACCCTCCGGTTACAATTCGAAACACACTCGGTCCACATGCCTCAAAGTGAGCTACCACACACACACACACACACACACACACACACACACACACACACACACACACACACACACACACACACACACACACACACACACACACACACACACACACACACACACACACACACACACACACACACACACACACACACACACACACACACACACACACACACACACACACACACACACACACACACACACACACACACACACACACACACACACACACACACACACACACACACACACACACACACACACACACACACACACACACACACACACACACACACACACACACACACACACACACACACACACACACACACACACACACACACACACACACACACACACACACACACACACACACACACACACACACACACACACACACACACACACACACACACACACACACACACACACACACACACACACACACACACACACACACACACACACACACACACACACACACACACACACACACACACACACACACACACACACACACACACACACACACACACACACACACACACACACACACACACACACACACACACACACACACACACACACACACACACACACACACACACACACACACACACACACCTCAGACCTCAGACATGCCCATCGCGGAAGCGATGATAGCGAACAGCTATGTTAGACATAGCAACTTGTGCTGGGATTACACCATTCAACAGCTTGCAAGGCTGATGAATTGACCGCCACTATTTTTAGCCTGGTATCCACCACACAGCTGTTTGAAGTGACTTTTTCTGGCCAGTGAATCCCTATTTTTCATTTTTCCATTTTTTTCTACACACACACCACACCACATACTCCGGCATACACTGGCTGTTGGTAACCACCCAGGAGAATGAAAGAAAAGTCAGGAAGAGTCTGAGAAAGAGAAGAAAGACGTGTGTGACCATAATCGTCGGGAATCGAACCCGCAACCTATCGATTGGAAATCGCTGCACATACCACTGCACCATATGGGACACACACACACACACACACACACACACACACACACACACACACACACACACACACACACACACACACACACACACACACACACACACACATGTGCGCACATGCACACAGACCTACATTGAAAGACAGCCAGGCAGACGAGCAAAGACATCGGCCAAGGCGAGAGCATCCACTTTCCGCCGCTTCTATGCTGCGTGATTCTGATACTGATTCTGCTGTAGTGCGACACGTCACACACACACCAAGTATGCAGGCAGCAACACTTACAGAATTCAAATTACGCACAACAGGCTCAAAGTCGACCAATCTAATTACAACCACATGCGTTCCTACTTGCATTCCTGTTGGCACACACGGCGAGTGGTACACACACACACACACACACACACACACACACACACACACCTTTTGACGCCCATCGCCGGAGGCGATGATAGCAATGCTACGGCAGAAGCCATAGCAACTTGTGCTGGGATGGCACCATTCAACAGCTTGCAAGGCTGAAGAATTGACCGTCACTATTCAGCCTGGTCTACACCATACAGCTATTTGAAGTGACTTTTTCTGGCCAGTGAATCCCTATTTTTGGTCTTTTCATTTTTTTCCCACGCACACCATCACACCACGTACTCCGGCATGCACAGGCTGTTGGTAACCACCCAGGAGAATGAAAGAAAAGTCAGGAAGAGTCTGAGAAAGAGAAGAAAGACGTGTGTGACCATGGCATAATCGTCGGGAATCGAACCCGCAACCTATCGATTGGAAATCGCTGCACATACCACTGCACCATATGGCGCACATACACACACACACACACACACACACACACACACACACACACACACACACACACACACACACACACACACACACACACACCATGTACCATGTATACGCCCGTCGCAAGAGAAGCACGCAAATCTGCAAATGCACTGGATGTGCACCCACAGATTTTCTCTTTATAGCAACGATAGCGGATCTGATTCTGATTGAAACAGATCAAGACAAGCGCCAGATAACTGTCTAATCCACACAACTGGCGAAGCCATGTGAATCGACCCCCCAATGCACACCTGGTCTACACCACACGGAGTACATCGGAATAGGACGGCCAAGACAGTTACCTATGCACACCCTACACTTGCTGGGGTAACCAGTACACACACACACACACACACACACACACACACACACACACACACACACACACACACACACACACACACACACACACACACACACACCTCAGACCTCAGACACACACACACACACACCACACACACTAGGGAGGTTCCGGAGTACTATTTTTCGCGCCAAAATCCGTAGAGGCTCTACGGATTTTTTATACGTCGTTTTCGAGCAGTGAAATGTTCCGGAGTACGGAACTTATGTGTTTGCCGTCATTGCCTAGGTTACGATCGCAAACACGTCACATTCCCGCGCTATGCCTTTATACTTTGAAAATTTGTACCGAAATAAAAACTTCCCGCGAAAAATCGATGTTTCTCGTACCAAATTTGTACGCGAAAAATCTTTCTGCACCCGATGACCATGATGACGCAAAATCTCCATACGAAACATGGTTCGTAAGAAAGCCAGTCCACACGGATTCTCCATGCCAAAAAATCGTATGGAGCACACCTGGAAAAAATCCGTAGCGCCCATACGGATTTTGGCAGGCAAAATCGTACCCCGGAACCTCTCTACTTTACATGTGTGCACTTGCAATAACTTAAACATAAAAACACTGTTCCAAGAGACATACATGTACTGCAATGGGCCAGGCTTAGCGCTTACAGCTAGAGCAGCATTGCCACTTAGCACACAGCATGCATTTGGGTCACAGCAATCTAATCTTACCTATACACAACCAAATGCAAGCAATGGACAGGAGGAATGCACACAGCATACACACTTACATACACTTACACACACACATAGTCAAATCTGTGTGTGTGTGTGTGTGTGTGTGTGTGTGTGTGTGTGTGTGTGTGTGTGTGTGTGTGTGTGTGTGTGTGTGTGTGTGTGTGTGTGTGTGTGTGTATGTGCGTGCGTGTCTCTCTCTGTGTCTCTGTGTGTCTCTATCTCGGTCTTTCTCTCTATCTCTCTAGGTTTATTTGCCTGCTGCCTGAGTGTACATCTCTAGTTTGTCTACCTTGGATCAGCGGTGTTGTTTCTGATGTCCGGTACTTGCTGGACTCTTGCTCCTCTCGTGTCAGAGCAGGCTGTTGTTCGTCGGGTTTCTTCAAGATTACAAAGTATGCAAGCCAGTAGATCAGCACGATGGGCGTAGCCAGGAGAAACACATAGCTGCAGTGGGACACATAGCAAACACATAGCATACACGGCAATTGCATTCTACTGTGCAGCACCCGACAATGCAACAGTATTGCATTCTACAGTGCACCACCTGACACTTACAATGCACTGTGCACAAGGGGTTAAATAGCCCTGAAGCATAAAACATTTCAAACAATTACACTGGGAGCTCAAATGAACATCTACTCCTTCTCAACACGTCAAGATTGAATATAGGAACAAGAGGTGAAGATACAGCCATGGCCACATTCTGAGGAGGAGAAGTGAGTGAGTGAGAGAGAGAGAGAGAGAGAGAGAGAGAGAGAGAGTGTGTGTGAGTGAGCAAGTGAGTGAGAGAGAGAGACTCAGAGAGAGAGAGAGAGAGAGAGAGAGAGAGAGAGAGAGAGAGAGAGAGAGAGAGAGAGAGAGAGAGAGAGAGAGAGAGAGAGAGAGAGAGAGAGAGAGAGAGAGAGAGAGAGAGAGAGAGAGAGAGAGAGAGAGAGAGAGAGAGAGAGAGAGAGAGAGAGAGAGATGATGATGTGTGTGTGTGTGTGTGTGTGAGAGAGAGGGGGGGGGGGGGGGGAGAAGGGAATGAGTGCGAGAGTGAATGAGTGAGCGAGTCGGTGACAAAGAAACGGTGAACGAGTGAGATATTGACAAAGGGTGGGTGAATGAATGAATGAGTGATGGAGTAAAAAAGAGTGGGCGAGTGAGTTAATTAAGAGTGGGTGGAAGAAAAGGAACAGAAGGGGAAAATGCATAGGTAACAGCCATAAAGTTCGTGATATGAAACATTTGGTGGGCCAGTCTAACAAAGATCATAACTATGTAACTGTTACTAATGCTGTACGTACTGGTTCATGTGAAGAAGCTTGTCATTTCGAGATGTGCCGGGAGGAGTTTGGACGGCACACGCTACAGAGGACAGGGGAAACGACCACAGGAGGCAAGAGAAAAGAAAGGAAAATAGATAAAGACGACTGCTGTGATGAAACACACAAAGTCTTTGTCAGTTACAGCGTATGCATTTACGCATGATCGCACTTGGCCAGTGTAAACTGCATACCAAAAACACCCTGATTAACTGATGCTGATGGCATTGAGAATGCACTGCAAGTCCGAACTACACGCAGCTCATCGAAAGGCACTGACAAGAAATGGACGCTCCCAATGCTTGGTGAAACTGCAGAGCTAGTACTTGACCCAGCCGGTGCACAAACCCAAGAAGAAGTGACTTTAACACAAAAATGAATACTACGGATCCACGTATGTTGGGTATGGTCAAGAACCCCCTCTTCCATGATCAGCTAGAACCCCCTCTCCCATGATCAGCGAGAACCCCCTCTCCCATGATCAGCTAGAACCCCCTCTCCCATGATCAGCGAGAACCCCCTCTCCCATGATCAGCTAGAACCCCCTCTCCCATGATCAGCTAGAACCCCCTCACCCATGATCAGCGAGAACCCCCTCTCCCATGATCAGCGAGAACCCCCTCTCCCATGATCAGCGAGAACCCCCTCTCCCATGATCAGCGAGAACCCCCTCTCCCATGATCAGCGAGAACCCCCTCTCCCATGATCAGCTAGAACCCCCTCTCACATGATCAGCGAGAACCCCCTCACCCATGATCAGCGAGAATCCCCTCTCCCATGATCAGCTAGAACCCCCCCTGATCAGCTCCAAAACACGACTTATACTGAAATGAAAACTGACCACTAGACATGGGGATGGTTCTGCACAGATCCAACAACTCAACATGCATCAAGCACACGCGCATGGAGAGGTAAGCGATGTGACTACAGCAGTCCATTGCTCATGTCGAAGAACTGGATCACATTCAGTCAGTGAGAGCGAATCGCCCAAAAGAGCTTGAGAAGTTTGTCGATCTACTCTCGGTAGCAGTGATCAACCTCAAGGATGCTGGGCGGAGTGCAGAACTACAGCCTGGCACTTTCTACAGCAAGCTCTTGAAGAAGTTCGACCAGCAGCTCCTCACCCAATTCCACCGATGGCGATACGACCGAGCCAAGCCAGACTCCGTAGAGGTCCTTCTTGAATGGTGCAGTCTGGAGGCTGAATTCCATACCACGGCAGCAGAAACCATTGAAGGCCTCGACACGAGAAGTCAGGCAAGTGCGAGTAGCAGTGTTTCCGCATCACGACGGTCGACACCATTCGCTGGTCCGAAGAAGAGCACATTCGTCAGCACACCAGACAACAAGCCACGGTCGTGTTCCCAGTGTAAAGGCCCGCATTCCATCACGCAATGCATGCCCTTCAAGGCAGCAACACCGGCGAAGCGATAGAAGGTCGCGAAGGAGACAGGCCTGTGCTTCCGTTGCCTGAATTCTGGTCACTCAGGGCGCGAGTGTTTCAGGGCACAGACATGTGGCATAGACGGTTGCCAGAAAAGCCATCATCGTCTGCTTCACGAAAACCGGCAGATTGGATTGTATAAGCAGCCAACGGAGAAGGCGGGAGACAGCAAAGCAGCAGTGTCGAGCAACGAGGCTACCGGTGCGACCGAGCGAACACAGTTGGCAGTGCTACCTCCCACGGAGGGGAGCTCATCAGCGGCTCAAACCACCAACCTCGGCGTGCGCGGCAAGATAGCGCTCCGAACCGTCTCCGTTGTGGCACGGAGCGGGGACCGCCGGATTGCGCTCAATGCGCTACTGGATGACGGCAGCACTCAGAGCTATGTGAATGCCTCGGTTGCAGCTCAGCTCGGAGGAGAAGGGCAGACGCAGCGGGTGTCTGTCAGCGTACTGAATGGTGGGATAGAGTCGTTTGAGACAATGCCGGTAGACTTCCAGTTGGAGAGTAGCGACGGAAAGTTTATCGCCCCAATGACCGCCATAACCACGACGAATGTGACCGGCAGCTTGAGGCCAATCGATTGGAACGTTTAAGCCGCCAGATACACCCATCTGCAAGACATCAAGTTCCCCAAGCCTGCCGACCCGAGGGTGGTCGACATTCTCATTGGTCTCGATCACGCGGAGTTCCATACGGCCCTGGAAGAAGTGCAAGGAGAACCAGGTGAACCCATAGCTCGCCGAACAGCTCTCGGATGGACCTGTGTCGGTATCGTCGAAAAAATCGGCCAGAGCCACGCTGTTCTGCCATCGCAGTGACGTGTTCGTCGCGGAAACCAGCCATGATAGATGGACCCTGGCTCTGATCTGGCGAGCTTCCGTTTTTGGCGACTTTATCGTACATGCATGGTGAAAAGGGGTCCAAAAAAGTACCCAACTGGGGTTCGAACCGCACAATGTACTGTTGCAAGTAGAGTGAAACGGCCTGGATTCCCCCAATTCAGTGCTTTTGGAGGAAAACCTGGCCGGATTTCTATTCTTGTTACTGTTTGCTTTTTGGAGATATACTATAGACTTCAGAAACATACCGAAAGAACATTCCATGGGGGATTGCCAGAAAAAGTTCTAAAAAAAACTCAAAGTTTGATCCATTATGGACAATGGCTAGGAGTCCATCTTTTTTTTAATGGACTGTAGTTTGCTCTTCTGAGTTTCCTCTCCCAATGCATATTATTAGTGCATGCGTTAAGGCAGGAATGAGACAGCTTGTTGCTATAAATACATACAGAGTCCAATGTAGAGTGTAGCACCAAGCACACCGGCCATTCCCGTTCCGCTGGACCAGGCCGTGATCAGGTCGGGATTGTACAGACGCAAGTAGCCCAGCACAACACTGTGATTCGCACAGTCACGCACACACACGTGCACACATGCACACACACACACACACACACACACACACACACACACACACGTACACACGTACACACACACACACACACACACATGAGCATGCATAACACGACTACGGTCGTCAAGCACATGAATGTTAGTCTAGATCAAGGTATTCGTGCCGCAGCTCTTTCATCAAATGGTTACCGTCAAGCCGGGTCCATATCATCACCTCCAAGCATGCCTCCATATTGTGGAAAAGCAAACCATCATAGTGCAAATGCTTACTTGTTATCCCCAATGCATTGCAGACCAGTGAGTAGTAGAAACACTATACAGTCGTCCCTCTCTAATCCAGCACCCTCTCTAATCCAGCACCCTCTCTAATCCAGCACCCTCGATAAACCAGCACGATTTTCAGTAGCCAAAATGTTCTCTTTATGCACATTCTAGCAGAAAACCAGATTTGTTAATCCAGCACCCTCCCTAATCCAGCAGATTTTCCGTGGCAGAAATGGTGCCGGAATATAGAGGGACCACCGTACATAAACGAGCAAACAGCAATACACGTACAACCAAGAGTACATGACCCACAAGAGTGTACAACTGTTACTGTTTGTACAATCTCCATCCAGTGCTGCGACGGCAGAGTTCCACATCACTTGACTTGCTTCAAACGGTTACGCTGGCAAACAGGGCAGCGTGACCACTGGGGAGCACCAGGGACTTGTACCCTAAGCAGAACGGTGTACAACCCCGTAGATATCATGCACAGGGTGCAGATCGTGTGCACGATCGTGTCACGTGATGTGAAATTCAGGCGTTGCGGACAACGTAGACTGGAGCTGTATGCTCTCCGGTGATGTGTACACTGTCCTTGGTATCAACAACACAGCCATCTCTACTTCCTTACTTTTCACCAAATCCAGCAGTGGAGCCTGATACTACCTACAACATTATAAACACAAGCAGTGTGAGAGAGAGAGAGAGAGAGAGAGAGAGAGAGAGAGAGAGAGAGAGAGAGAGAGAGAGAGAGAGAGAGAGAGAGAGAGAGAGAGAGAGAGAGAGAGAGAGAGAGAGACAGAGAGAGACAGAGAGAGAGACAGAGAGAGAGACAGAGAGAGAGAGAGAGAAACAGAGAGATTTACATTTATAGAGACGAGCAAGTCTAGCAAATGAGGACTAAGCCGTTACAACAGATTTCTCCAATACCTGAAAGCAGGCACACTCGGCTTGGTGAGGGGGAAAGTGCAGATCATGGTCAAACAAACACATACAGTCATCAAGGACATACTCATCGCTTCTACAGGACAATATTCTCATAACATTTATACAGTCTACCTCAAAGGCAAAGATCAACTGAGACAGGCAATGCAAAGGCTACTCACAATAGCTACAATGGCAACTGTGAAGCTTGGAGCGAAGGCGATACCTATGAGGCCTGTGGATAGGGTTACACACAAATAAAACCAAGTTTGGGACATTAGTATTAGCCGTGTGATCAGGAGGTATCATATACGAGCAGAGCCGACCATGCTGCGTTACTGCTGCTGCTGGATGGCGCTGCAGGAATCACTACACTGGATCATCAATCATCTACATGCCACTCACTAACATGCTGCACACAATCATACTCTGGCCGTGTTTTATATGCTTTCAAAAACTCCTTATGAGTGGGTAGTACCAAGAGTACATAACCCCCCAGAGTGTGCAACGCCTGATCTAGCTCTGCATAGGGTCTTGGTCGAGCGGAATCGGATCTTTGCGTCATAATACCGTACACATCTGAGGGGAACCCGGGGAGTCGCGGGTACTCTTGGATCAAAAACAATGGTGCTGTTCAGAAGATCCCGAGGTCTGAACCAACGACTATATGTCACATGCATGGTTGTGCTGTACTGCTACGCATCGGCTTCTAGTATGCTTGCATTCATGGTAGCATTGACTGTAGACCTGAGCGGTCACGTGCATGTTTCTGTCTCGCGAGTTCCCGGATGCATGCACCGGAGCTTGCGCCGCGCTGTGCTGCGCTGCTTTTGTTTAGTTCCTGGTTGTTGGACTTTTAGTAGTGTTTTAGACTAGCTGGTGTGAACAGTTGCTTTTCGGAGTTCATGTAGAAAGTTCAAGGTTATTGTTTCTTCGAATCGCTTTCCGTTGTGCACGAATGTGGAATGTGTCACTGTGTGAGTGTGCGTTCCCTTTAGTGAGCTTTTCTTAGTAACAGGTGCCCTGCCTCGAGACCGGCCTTGCGCTGGTGTGAAGTGTACGCATGACATCAGAAGATCCGATTCCGCTCGACCAAGACCCTACACAGAGCTGGATCGGCGTTGCACACTCTGGGGGGTTATGTACTCTTGGTAGTACATGTCAAGCTACATGCACAATCATCCCACATCAACATTGGTTTCATATGAATGTTGCTTTCAGTTTGGCTCTTCTATGCATATCTGATGGGTGTACTTTTATCCACCTCTTGTGTGCTCTACCAATGGCTTGAGATTATTTAACATTCATCTCGACTCTAACACTTTGACATAGACGAAGGCAGACAGACACACAGACACACACACACACACACACACACACACACACACACACACCACGCACATGCACACATACACACATACGCACATGCACACACACACACATACACTACACACACGGACACAGACGCACACGGACACAGATACACATGGGCACAGATACACATGGGCACAGATACACATGGACACACACACACACACACACACATGTAAAGTTAATAGACAGTGGACAACAGACAAGGAGGTGGAGAGGGCGCTCCAGCATAAGACGTACCACCCAGCATAAGGACGCCATTGACAAATATGCGAATGCCGTAGGGAACACCAAGTGGAACAAGGACGAAAGCATTCAAGCCTGCAAAGCGAGAAGAAAACCACTAAAGCATTACCTGTAGCCACACAGCGGCATTCAGACAGCAATGCACAACTACTGCCAGTGGTAACACAAGGAGGAAAGCAAGCTAAGAGACACAAACGCAACCATACATAGCAACAAGGCGGACAATGTAACAACTAAAGCAACTCAAAAACATTTCCCAAAAGATTTTCTACACAGTTTCATCAGCCGGAATGCAGTACAGCAAGTCAAACGGTGCAGTGCATACTAGAACAGAAAGGCACGTAATGAGACTGAGCGCTAGAGGCTAGTAAAGATAACCTAGCATCTACTATACATCGGGTAGTATGGGGGGAGAGAGAAATGGCGCCGCTTTGAGTACAGTGTACTCTCGATAAGTCTCGTACCCAGTCTTGGAGACAAAAAATATGTGACTTATCACAAGTGTGTGACTTACACAAGTCTAGTGTCAACATAATTATACAAAAGTACATACTGTCCAGACTTCAAAAGTGCGCCACCTTTTGCAAATGCGTGATTTAAAAGTGAGTGACTTATCGCGAGTAGCGTGTACAAGAGACAGCACTAGTACTAGTTGTATTTCTAGTAACACAGGGTATTAAGTATAGCAGCTAGACAACAACACTTCACAGCACTGCAGTTGGAATGCATGGTCATGTGCAGTATTATTAAATAACTGGCCTGGCATTGGGTATTAAAATATTATATTTTAATACCCAATGCCAGGCCAGGAGAAAGTAAATGATTAAATGCATTACCTGCAAAGTATCTAAGGCATGGTGGTGGCCTAGCGCAAGCGAAACTTCCTAAGCTGGTTGTGTTTCTCAACACAATTGTAGAGCCAGTTGTCACGTGGACGTGCACACTTTACCCTTTCTTACTACCTGCAATATGGATCTGGAACACATTTGGCACCGTGACTGGAATTGGTCACTTACACTTTGCTCCAAAGCCAAACGCCACATTTGCCCAAGGGATCAGTGACACATCATCTGACTTGTGAAAGCTGCACAGTGGAGACAACAACAGCAGTAAGGAAGCGAGAGACAGAATTATGCATGATGCTTCTCTTTTCACATGCACTCATTGTCACACACTTTTCACCACCCCACGTCTGCTTGGTGCAATGCATGATGTGCAACAGACGGGAGATGGAACTTACAAAAATTCCGGCCACCAGTATGTGAGCACCGGTATTTGCTACAAAACAAAACTTAAAATAAAACAACCCTAATGTTCGCATTACTGAGCAGAGTTGATTTCGTAGGTGCAGTCATCAAGAGAAAGGTGCCATACTATCTCACGACACTCCAACAATCACAGACAACAACCAGCTACTAGTACACAGTCTGACAGCCAAGCACTACGCACAAGACAATCAGAATATCGAGAATGACCACCCAAACACGGTCATTGCAAACACAAATCGATAATCACAGGAGTGGCGTATCCATAACCCAACCACCATACACGCGTCCACACACACACACACACACACACGCACACACCCTACCTATCTGCAATGGTCTTGGCTGACGAGTTGATAATGACATAGGACATGTTATTGATTGTGCCGAGTAAGAAGAAGGCAATCTGTTTCAGGGATATATCGACAACCATCATCCATGCAAACCTCATACATGTAAGTCAAGTGGAATTTGATTTTTGAGGATGTGTTTCCTAGCTAAAGTGTCCTGTTACTCATATGACTATTTCTTGTAGTGCAGTGCCTATTCGAGTATACAGGCTATGTATAATACAACACCGTACCAATGCCATCAAGATGACAGTTTCGTAAGGATTCACACAGGAGACCCACCCTCAAAATGCATGTTCCACACGGCACGGATGAAAATCCGTTCCGGGGAATCGAGCTCAGGGTGTGCTGGACGTTCGAATATCGTTACTTCGTGTTCCAGTCCGCTGTGCAGCGCCATGGCTGAGTCCCAGGGGCGTCGGACAAGCTACGGTCACTACGGTATTGACTGTATCACTCTTTGCCCCAGCTACCCCGTGAATCAATGACAAGCACTGATTTGGGCTCTAAATTTTGAAATTTTTCAGAGAAGCCATCACAACCACACGAGTAATTTGTACTTCAGGTGGATGACCGTTAACTTCCGACTTGTAACCCGCATGCACAGAATTCCATCAGAATCATCTTCATGCTTTCCCAAACCAGGAGCTTATTCGGTTACGGTGTGTTTCAAAAGTATGGACCGTCATTCCAACAAACAAACAAAACACACAAAAAGTGTTAGTCCTGCAACAATCTTTGCTGGTGATTACTTTGGCTCCGGCAAGCATTGGGAATAATTTTTCAGAAATGGATGTTGATTATCCAATCGCTTACATGTAGATGCAGTCAACTTCGCTAAAAACGACTGCGGATATAACGACAGAATTTCCATGCCCAGAGCAAAGTCCCATCTAACTGCAATACACTCAATCTGCGGGTAACTGCAATACATATGTACAGTACTGTGGGGCGCCGAAGAACTGGGGGGTCAGGGTTCTAGCCTAGCCCGTTCTTATTTTTAGCGAACACAGCGGTTTCGTTCTTATTCGACGGCACCGTCTTACATGTACATTTATGCAGAGTTAGACGTCTGAGTGTACATTACTGTATTTACGGTTTCCGCTCTTATCTGCAAAAATTCCAGCCTAGACTGTTCTTAAAAATTGGTGAAATTCTAGCCTGGCCGTTCTTCAGCGGCCGGCAGTACTGTAATGAGACTTCGGGTATAAGGACACTTCGCGAATAAGGACACCTTTCTGATGCCCAGCCGAGTGTCGTTATACGCAAAGTTGACTGAATGGATTCAGCAGATCGAGGGAATGGAAAGGGGAAAGTCATGTAGATAGATATGAGGAAAATTGCAAAAACTCATCTGAGGAATGTTCCGAAGAAATCATTCGAAAACCTTGAACCAAATTTCAATTATTTGAAAAGCCTGGTCTTAACTTTTTTAAATGCATTGCATTGTGCATGTGTCCCGTGTGAGCAGCTTTTTCTTGTGAAAACAATCGATATGCCGTGCCTGTTTGTGCACAGGCGCCGCACACGCTTGTGCACACACAGCTGCCGTTCATAGCGCCCGTGCACAGCAGCGGGCGCTTCTTGACCCATGCGACCGGATAGTTCACCACACAGTGCATATAATGCATGAATTCATAAATTACAAAGTCTCAGTGTATCCATAAACACAGGCGCAGTACTGTGTTGTAAATAGGGAGGTTTAGTTCCCACGTAACGGAAACGCGTACGTGGGTGATCCACGTAAAGTGGATGAAGGGCATCCACGTTGCAATGTTGTGTTTAGTCACACGGAACAAACAAAAGCATGAAGCGAAAGGCCCAAACCTGGTCAAAGACGAAGCTACCCGGGCCTAAGAAGCTCATCGAATATTTTGATTTCGTGCTTCGGAAATTTCTTCAGCTGAGCACCCTCACAGCTCGCAAAATGCGCTCCATTCTGATTTTCACCCACGTTCTGGCGGAACGTGGGTGAGCCTCCATACACGGTATGTCGTGAATCAGAAAACGTCTGTACGTGGGTCACTGAGTATCACGTGGTACACACACGTAAAGTACCCACGGATTACGTGGGACTAAACCTCCCTAATATCTACAGTGTAAACCTCAGTGAAAAGAAAAGCTGCTCATTCACATTTTCTCGGCACTGAAGCTGCGTTTTGCCTAATGAAATGAAAAGAAACTTTCGTACTGCAACGTTGAATCTTGCACAAGTGCTATTGAAATGTTGATGGGAACTTACCCAATTTCGCCAGAGAGTTGGCCTGCTTCCAATACGAGCAGGAGGACCAGGTGGCGGGGCTTCATCCTCTTGGGCCACGGCGCTATCTAGAGACCTGGCTCCGTGGGACGCCATTGTCCTACTGTCGCTTATAAGCTTACAATACAAGCAAGAGTACTCTTCATGCAGCACAATACAACAAGTAAAGTGATAAAGACTAGTGAACACCAACACTTGAACAGAAAGGTCTATTTTCAAAAATTTCTCTCGAGCTGCCAAGTCTGATACATGTACGGCATACGTCAGGAATCTCGTACCATACGCCAGGCTGTCACATGCAAAAATGGACATCACGTGACTTCCACCGGTCCAGGCCAAGTCGCGGGGCGAGGCCTCAAGCAGTGAGTCAAGGGCTCCCCATAGTAGGTCTGCACGCACTAAAAGCAAAACGGTCTTTGTCAGAGTCCTATCCCTGATCCTGGGCAACCATGGTCAACCGGTTACTAGTATCTACACTACGTAGACTACTGAGTAGACCACTGCGTAGAGTCTACTGACTGTAAACTGTAGTCACCAATCCATGGTCACTGGTAGGGACTACAAATTGCACAATGCCCTATCCGGGTATCCATAAAATAATCACAGTCAGTATGATTATGTCACAATAGTGTACGGCTCGCCACTCTCTGGTCGTGGTAGGGTAATAGAATAGTGGCCCAACTACGGTACTTCCCCGGATATTAGTAGCTGATGACGTCTAGCTGGGGTGAAAGTAACTAGTTGGCACGCACTGAATGCTGTCCCGTGCGGATGGCAGTGATTATTATTATTGTTGTATTAAAAAGGGCATTGCCTAGGTTGTTGTGTGAACTCAGGCTGCACGACCCATACTTTGAAGTGCTGAGTCACTGCTGACTCATGTCCTATAATTACCCAGTCGCTGAGTCTTGTGAGTCACAAGACTCAGCGACTGGGTAATTATAGGACATTCCTATTGGGACACCACAACCTCTAGTCTTGAGCAGCCAGTCAAACTGCATACTGGGCAGTAATAACACACTGAGCTGCATGTGGAATACAGGTCTACCCTCGGTAGCACGACATCGGTTACACGACAAACCTCCGATGATTAGTAGACAACGATCCAAAATCCCCTGACACGTGAAATGCGTACATTTAAGTCCGGATAGTAGATAATACTCATTGATATACGGCAAAAATTGGAACCCTTCCCCCGGGTTGTCTACTAAGGCCACCCTTTCTTTTTTCGTTGTTTAACGTCCGCGCCCGCGTACCTTTTTGCCTCCGACCTGAAAAAAAAACAAGAAAGTAGTAGTACCAATAATATGCGAAGTTGTAAATACATGATTGTGTAGTTTCACAGTGTGCCGATCATGACCTTAAACTTATAATCTTGCCTCCCGGGCATGCCTTTGTCTTGTGTTCTTTTTCTTTTTTTGTTGGCTTTTAAATATCGTACGGTGTGTGCCCTAGTAAAAATCCAGATGTAATGAATTCATGACATGCTAACTCCATGCTATGTACCTGTTTTGTTGGATTCATCAGGCATGTGCTCCAATGTACCATCAAAGAGTGTTGTTCATGCCTGCAAGTGCCGCTAGACCCAGAAATATTGTATATATATCGCATGCTTTACTGGTCAAAATGTTTGATTGGGGTTTCCAGTTTTTGGAATGGGCTTTTGTTTTTTTTCCGCCCTCCCGCGTACCTTTTCGCGAAAAAAAGGACGTTAAACAATGAATTAACAAAGGGTGGCCTAACGAGGATAGACCCTAAGACATGTGATGCAATCACGTAGCTACAGCAGCAGCAGCAGCCGTGGCAGCGGCGGCACCAGTTTGGCAGTGGCGCCGGGTGAATCTGTGGCTTCAGTTACGTTAGGATTCGGTCGGTATAACGTATAAAGCACAGTCGGATCGGTGTATAGAACAACAGGCAGCACCATGTGCAGATCATTCGATGAATGCCTTTCTCATGAGTAATGTCTTGTACATAAGCTCTGAGTTATGATAAAGTTCACAGCGAGCTTCAGACATGCAGGCCTGTGATAATGGCAAAATTCCCATCGCTACATCAGTCACGCCTATGATAGAACCATTTTTGAATTACTAATCTAAATAGTTATGTGCATAGTATTAGTAGTTATCTTGCTTGGCTACAGTGTACAGTGTCAGTGTGTTCCTACCTCAGGGCACGTGGCTAATCATCGCAGCTGATGGCATGGTGGCAGTATAGTATGAAGCATTCACGGCGGATATGCGGAGACTAAAACAGGTGTACCGTACATTGTGTACTGTACATTGTGTACTGTACATTGAAAGACGTGACAACAACTGATGAGCCATGCCCAGCCCAGGAATGCAGCATGCACCCGAAAGTACTGAATTTGCCTGTCCTCGATCCCTGTCGAGCTAGATCTTGGGCAACTTCACAGCACCGTTCTCGCCCTGCCTCCGGTGGTTCCTCCGTTGCAACTTTTGAAGAGTTTCTTTTGACAACTTCCTGCTGAAGAAGGAGTGTATGGCATTCACTGGCAGCGTCATATCCTTCAGCTCGTACACATTTAGTTTGTTGTACGTGGAATCAAACACGGCAGCCGCAGGCTTCCTCTTCATTTGCTGCTGGGCAATCACGTGACGCACCTGCGGTCCGGGAACACTGACCATCGGTCCTGGTGTTCTCAGAAAACCATTCATGTAGAGCGTATCGTCAAATGGTTTGTGCGCAAATGATTTGTGGCGATCCAGCAGATGTTTCTGCCGAGATATCGGCTTTCCACCAGCCGCCTTGCCCTGCATGCCGGTGAGTCCACTGTCAACTTGGCTAGGTAGACTTGGCCAAGAAATAGTGTTGACGATTGATCTGCTTTTCCTCTCCTTTCCTACTTGGTCGTGTGGTTTTCCTTTCTTCCCGCTAGCTTGTTCTGTGTCCGCTGCTGTATTCTGAGGACGTACACTCCCCCCACCAACAAGGCCATGTCCAGCAGCAGCAGCTGGCTGACCAGGACTACTTTTCATTTTCTCATTTTGCTCAGTTGCAGATGGTGCTTGCTGGGATTCTTTGACCTTGCTCGTCGCCGTGCTCGGTGGAGTCTGTCGAGAACCAGCTGGGGCTGATTGGTGTGCGGTGGCCGAACGCCGAACACGAGACTTGGCAAAGCGCGGGCACGGCAGAGTTCTATTGCAGTCCCGGGCACGGTGTAGCAAATCGCAGATAGTATCCTTCACGGTGGAGTCAGTTTGTCTGAATCGCCGTAACTTCTCCTTTCTGGACAAGTCTTCCAACTCACCGAGAGCTTCTGCAAAACTTGTCTTTTTTGCAGACAGCCATTCCGTATCCATATTGCCGATAGTAGGCTTATATAGCTTATCATGAGGTCCACCTTGTGCCTTCCTGTTGTCAGCGGGGAGTTTCACAGACTTCCCTTCAAGAAGCCCGTCTGTACCTGCCATTGCACTGGCAACACGGTCGAATACGCTGTCTTTTACGGCGCGCCCGTTGCTAACGTTAGTACGGGCGGCGGCACCAACAATGGCAGCATTCGCCATCGCAGTCGCGGCGGCGAGGCTTTCAGCTATATTGTCTGTGTCGTTAGTGGCACTCGTGGCGTCCACACCATCAGTGATATCCGCAGCATCAGTGATATCCGCACCATCTGTGGTGCTAGCACGGTCAACTTTGTCGGTTTTGGTTGCACGTTTGGTGCTCTCATTTCCACCGGCAACCGCCGCATTGTCAGTGCTCATCATGGAGTCAAACCGCTGAAAGCCACTGGGTTTGGCTGTCCAGCCAGGATGCAGGTAAGCCAACGTGGCCACATCCGGTGGGCCTCGCGGATGCTGGAACGTACCCGGCTGGTCGAGTGCCCACGCACACTCCTGGCCAAACGAGCCAATGAAGTCGCCTTCAAGTGTCCACAATCGCACAGATGTATCATCAGAGCCTGTCAAGAGCTGGAACAGACGTGAAACATAGAAAAACACGCACACACGCATACATGTGTCTCAGTCGGTAGAGCATGAGACTCTTAATGTCAGGGTCGTGGGTTCAAGCCCCACGCTGGGCGCCAAATGTTGTCTGCCCTAAGGACGAACTACCTCTCCACTTTCGTCCCGCCACACAAACAAAGGGTCTAGGAAAGTAGTGGTTCTCTATTTCTAGAGAGAGAGAGAGAGAGGTTTTCTGTAATGCACTTCAGGACGACGGGAGAACTGACAGCTGGCAAAAGGAAACATATCGGAAATTGGTGCCCTCATCAGCACAAAAAATGGTGTACTCGATATAAGCACACAACGTGGTGTACTCGATGTCAGCACAACAAGGTGCACGTGTCAGCAATACAACAAAGCAGCGCAGCAGCATGTACGGGTCAGCAGCATGTATGACACAGAGACACAACTACAGCAGCAGGTACGACAAAGAGACAACACGTGCAGCCACATGTACAACACATGCACACACACACACGCGCACACACGCGCATGTGCACACACACACACAAACACACACACACATACATTCACACATACACACACACATTCACACACACACACACACACACACACACACATTCACACACACACACACACACACACACACACGCACACACACACACACATTCACGGACACACATTCACGGACACACATTCACGGACATATGCAAACACACATATGCACATGCACATATAGTATACGTGCGGCAGCACTAGTAGAAGCAAGCAAACTACAAAAGCAACAGCAACAATGACAGCAACAGCGACAACGGCAGCGACAACAACAACCACAACTATACCAACGACAACAACGGCACCGGTAGCATTGCACCTTTCCGGCATGTACCTTTATCATGCTATGACATCATGCTATGACATCATCATCAGTGCCATTGTAAAACAAACCATCCTCAAATGTGGTTCACATGACATGAAAAAGGATTAGTAGAGTAGTGAGACCTCAACCTACCAAGGAACGGTGTTCCATTAGTTCTACACAATTGATGCTCTTTGTATGCGCCTGCCATTCACACATGATCTCTGGGTCAATGATCTCGTCAAACGTGTCTTCACCATGCGGCAGTGGAGCCGTGCCGAAGCGAGTGATGTCCCAGATACCGACGTAGCCATGTGAGCTACATGTCACCAGGAACTTGTCATTGTCAGGGCACGCAATCCTCCTCACCACCTGGGTAGAGTGGGTATGAAAGAACACAGCTGGGCTATCATCATTCTGCGTGCTGTAAGTCTACAAAATTAATGTTCGACCCATTCGAATTTCGGCCTCCCGGGGCTAAAACACATTTCGGCTGCATCAAATTTTCGACCCATACTGGTGCCGCCTGTATACATGGTATGCACTGCCACATTGAACATTGGAAAAAAATTCGCCTGCAACAAATTTTCGGCCAAACATGACCAGGCCGAAAATAGCCGAAAATAGACATGCACCGAATATTTGTTGACTGACAGTACCTCTGCGACCCCGTTATTAGTACAATTATGTCATAACAGAGAGTCGAGGAATACTTTAGTATGCATACATATGTTGTAGTACGTTATTTTGTGTACGTCGTGTGTAGATCTACGTCATGTTGGTGCATGCGCGTGTTGCTGTGGTGTGAAAAGCTGTCTTCGTCTTGAGTTCAGTGTGTCTTCGTCTTGAGTTCATGATGTGTTCGTCTTCAGTTCGTCATGTATAGTTGTGGTTCCGTCGTCTTGTCACAAATATAGTCTTCTAAGGCTGCGTTTACACGACAACGCACGGCCAGTTTTCCGTTTTCAGTCCCGCATTTCTTTTTTCGTTTTCGTACGTTTACACGATCAAAGCCGATCCGAGGTGGTCTCCGTTTGTACCGTTTTCAAGCGTCTACACGAGAGCAAAGGATCCGCCAAAGTTCGTCATGTGCCAAGTGTTGCCGTGGAAGCACCAATCACACTCAAGTAATAGTTGAAAACAGGCACACGACAACACACGTCACATGACGAAAATTGCAAAAACAATTTTTTGGATTGTCGGATCCGTGTAAACGGCCGAAAACGAAACAAACGTGACGGAAAACGAGGCCAGCACACCGTTTCGACCTGGTTTCGACTGTTTACACACCCAAATTTATCCGGCAGAACATTTCCGTTTTCAAATTCTTCCACCTTGGCCAGCGTTTTGGTTTTCTTCCGTTTTGGTGTACAACTTTTACGTTTTGCTCCGCGTACCGTGTAAATGAAATACATAATCCTACACAGTTGCGAGGGCATGATGCTCTGATCAGGCCCGAGGTCTGTGAGTGATCTTGCCCGAGGTCGCGACGCCCAAGGGGCGTAGCCCCGAGGGCGTCGCGACCGAGGGCAAGATCACTCACATGACCGAGGGCCTGATCAGAGCGGCATGCCCGACGCAACTGTGTAGGATTGCGCTTCAGACAAGGCCCACCTCACAAACAACAAGGCCCAGTGGCAGTACAGTACGTACTCAGTAGAGAGATTCAAACAGAAAGAAAGCCTTGACGGCAAATGAGTTGATGTCACATTGTGTGCAGTGACCATCACAAACAGCTATCTGTTTGGTCGGAACTTTCCAGTTTTGAGATGAAAGTATTCAAGTACAGTGAAGGCAGTAGTAACGTTAGTACCAGTAATATGACGGATTCGGAATAAACCCGTTCTTCGAGTTAGATGATTGCCAGAGTAAGGTTCAAATGCGAGTGCTGAGAAGCTGCAGCCTTAGCCTGTTAGGGCAGGTACAAAATGTACTTGTGGAGGTCTGCTTCCCTTGTGTACGTTTCGCCGCGAGAAACAGGACCAGCTGCAAGGTCGGTTGGCGTTTCTGGTCTCCTTGCAGACGTTCAAGACAGTAGTGAGTATATAATCATTTTGGAGAAGGGAGACAAATTTTTAGTCCTCGTCGTCGGAGATGTTGCCCAAGGCAAGGACTTCGAAAAATGGTAAATGCGCATGTGCGGCGCGATGCTGTACGACTGCTGTTCTTGACCGGCTGAGCGGTCAAGATCGACTGATCTTGACTGCTTATTCTGGCCGCTCATTGGCCGTCTCCTGGCAACAAGCACGTGCCATGTCTGAACCATGGATCCGAAAGGATTTCGTTGCGTTTTCGCCCCCAGCGTTGTCGTGTAAACGCAGCCTCAATGTAGTTATCGTCGTCCCATTTGTACAAGTGTGGAGATGACACGGGACTGGGAGCAGGCAGAGAAAAGCGAGTACAACATTGGTGGCAGCGGTAATGGAAATTTGTAAATCTCAACTTCTGGATTCGTCCTGCATGGCCTTCGCTCCCAGTTTCCGATGTCATCTCCAGTCGTCCTATCGTCAGTTTCATCCGTCTTCAAGAAGTTCGTCCGTCGTCCTCGTCCTTCATCATTCGTCTCTCCCGTCTCTTAGCAGTCGTCGTCACTGGTGGTCCCGGACACGACGTAAAACTGTGCCCAGAAGAAGAGGAAAGGAAAAAGAAGGATGGATGGTCCCGGACACGACGTAAAACTGTGCCCAGAAGAAAACCTGAAAAAGAAAAGAAAAAAGAAGGATGGATGGAAGGTGAAGAGAAGAAGAAGAGGCTGCAGAAGTGAGGATGTCGACGCTGAGCAGCGCTCCTGGAGATGGTGGACGACATGGCAGACGGCGTGAGGAGTTTCGTTGGTGAGAGGGTACGTGTGTTGTGAACGTGAGGAGTATGTGAGTTTTGTATTTTCTGTTCTCCCAACATTTTGTTCTTTATTATTTGCTCTCCTCGAGGGTAAAGAGGCGCCCGCACAGCGCGTGTGTTCTGTTCTTTTTTTGATTTGCTCTTCTATGAGGATAACTAGAGGCCCCCACAGAGCCAGTGGATTCTGTTCTTTTTGTTATTCTTATGATTTGTGCTCTCACATTTTTAGAATTTTTGCGTGATCGTGAGGTGGTGTGTTGAGTGCAGTAGTTTAGAGTTTTTGAGGTTATCAGTTCCCACACGTGTGACAGCGATCGTGGCTGGTGTTCTGGGTGGGCGGACAGAGTTTTTTTGAATGATCTGAAGTGCAGGCAGAGGTATTTTATTTCTGGGTGTGACGGGTGTGGTATGATTGAGTGATTTGTGTGATCTTTTCCTCTTTTTACTCTGTTTATTATTAGAATCGAGGACGATTCTACTCTTGGGAGGGAGTTATGTTGTAGTACGTTATTTTGTGTACGTCGTGTGTACGTCATGTTGGTGCATGCGCGTGTTGCTGTGGTGTGAAAAGCTGTCTTCGTCTTGAGTTCAGTGTGTCTTCGTCTTGAGTTCATGATGTGTTCGTCTTCAGTTCGTCATGTATAGTTGTGGTTCCGTCGTCTTGTCACAAATATAGTCTTCTAAATGTAGTTATCGTCGTCCCTTTGTACAAGTGTGGAGATGGCACGGGACTGGGAGCAGGTAGAGAAAAGCGAGTTACAACACATACATGTATGTGTATCACGATTGTGACAGGGGATGAATTAGCCGCGTACCGTACGGTGTCAGGGGCGGCCCCCGGCAGCCACAGGATGTGGTTTTGGGCCGTGCAGGATGTAATTGAAACAGAAATGCGGCGCTGCTTTCTGACACACAGGTCGGATTTCTTTGACCACGGCTATAGTATACGCTTTGTAGGATCAGCTTGGTCCCGACCCTACATCCCAGTTACTAGTACACCAAATACAGGGTTACTCTGATCTACCCGTGCATGAATCCCGTGCATGAATCCCATGCATGAATCCACCCATGCATGAATCCCATCCATGAATGCATGCATGAATCGGAAATTGCATGAATCCATGAAGCCTTGCATGATCCATGCATGAATCCCATGCAGGTACATGTCTGCAGGGACAAACCACTTCAAATACCAGTAGTCTGCCCAATACCCATACACAACATCTATCCCACGGGAACCAGAACTCATCAGCTGAGTTGCACACTTTTTGGTATATTCTATGCCCGAGTTGTGATGTTACACTGCGAAGCCCCAGGCCTGCGTAGTGCATGGGTGTGTGGTATTGTAGAATTCTGTCGTGTGTCAAGAGCTTAGAGTGCTCTCGGAGGTGTATTACCAACATCTAGTGGACAATCATGGTGACCCGGGCATAACAACTATGATGGTTAAACACAGTGGTTTAGAATCCAGACAGCGTTATGTAGTAATGGCCACAAGGCACAAGAAAAGGATCATTAAAAGAGGGACCAAAGAGAACCGAGCCGCTCCATATTAACCAGCATAGGTACTCACTCCATGAATACGCGGTGCCATGAAGGCGTCCCAGAATCCATTGCGTATGTTCCAGAATAGCACACCACCACCCATACCGCAGGTTACCAATGATGCTGGTGCTGGTACTAGCAGGTACATCATCAAATCAGACATCAACACCACATTAGCAATCCATCGTCCTTCTAAGGGACGGGGTCATCAGTGTATGTGTGTGGGTGTGGTGGGGGGGGGGGGGGGGGAGTGAATGTGTGTGTGTGTGGGGGGGGGGGGATGTGTGTGTGTGTGTGTGTGTGTGTGTGTGTGTGTGTGTGTGTGTGTGTGTGTGTGCCTGCTTGCATGTCATCAGTGTCCTTTGAATTTTCCAACCTCAAAAGTGGCAAGGAATAGTTTGCCTGTGCAATCCAATGCGCGTACACAGCTGTTTTGACTGCAACGTTATATCCATCACTTTACATTGACGTACATTCAAGATATCAAAAACATGGGAAAAGCTGGAATGAAAAACGCTAACCCCCCTTTTTTGTCAATTTTCAAAAGGATCCCAAATACGAATCAGCTCACTGAATGTTTTCAGTTCGCACCGCACGTATATCTCTTCTATTATAATTCCTTGAGTTGAGCAGGTTTGGCATTCCAACTCTTCATATAATGGCATCACAGGCACGTAGCACCGCCGTTGGAGGTGGTTCCGCCGAAGCGGGTCCGGGGGCTTCCCCGTGGAAAATTTTGAAATTAGAGTGCAAAATCCTGCATTCTGGGCACTTTGGGCACTGTGTTAAAAAAAGTGATTCGGCCAAAGCTGGACTGGCCGGACCGACTGCTGCACCCCTTCATGCAGCGTTGTATGAGTAGAGTAAAACCTGGTGTAAGCGACCTCTCGTTTTAGCGACCACCTGCTCTTTTAACAACCGTTTTTCCATGCCGCACAGACAGTTCTACACAGCCACTGTGGGACCTGGTTCTAAAGACCACCTGGCTTTAACGACCGCTTTCCCTTGCACCGTGGGGTGGTCGCTTAAACCAGGTTCTACTGTACCCTGTAGCTCACGGTGTAGTTATGTCCCATATAGTGGCGGTGTATCAGCTCTTCTATTGCTTCTACACTGACCTGCATCTGCCTTGTTCTCTGCGTGCAGGCGCGTGTTCAGAAAGGTCATGCCCGTCACTGCCAGCGTGCCCTTGGCAAACTCGTGGATGCTCTCGTCGATGCCGAGAGTGTCGGCAATGCTGTGCTTGGCGTACAGCTGGCCGGAAAGGATGTTCCAGATGCAAACGCTGCCGTCATACCCACCTGCCACAGAGAAGGAGGGAGGCATGCAGATGAACTTACCATGTGGTTAACCGTCGATGTGTTCAGCCATGCAGGTACTCACCAGTATGCTATCCTAGTCACACAGACTCTCACTGAAACAGCTTAGCCGAGTTCAATATGCTTACGAAGTACATGCTCACTTAAAAACCACCCTCTCTACCAACCACTCTCTCTCCCAACCACCCACTCTCCCAACCACCCACTCTTACAACCACCCTCCCTCTCTCCTAACCACTCTCTCCCAACCACTCTGAGCCACTCTCTCCCCCAGCCACTCTCTCTCCCAACCACTCTCTTCCCCAACCACTCTCTCTACCAACCACCCTCTCTCCCAACCACTCTCTTCCCCAACCACTCTCTTCCCCAACTACTCTCTCTCCCAACCTCTCTCTCTCTCTCTCTCTCTCTCTCTCTCTCTCTCTCTCTCTCTCTCTCTCTCTCTCTCTCTCTCTCTCTCTCTCTCTCTCTCTCTCTCTCTCTCTCCCCCAACCAACCTCTCCTCCAAGCACACACCCCCTCTCTCTCTCTTTCTCAAGGACCCTCTCCCCCACTGAGCACCTTCTCCGCCAAGCACCCGCTCTCCCAAGCACCCTCCCCCAGCCATTCTCTCTCTGCCCCAACCATTTGCTCTCCCAACTACCCTCACACATTAATCACCCCCATACCCCTAACAACCCCCCCCCCCCCATCACCAACCACCCTGGCATCACCAACCAACCTCATACCACCAACCATCTTCTCTCAGTACCAACCATCTACTCTCAGAGGAAGTTCTACATTCAGTATAGAGCTGTCCAAGTCCTCCCCTATATGTATGCTGTAATGCTGTGTGCCAAAGCAGAACTAAATTTTAAAAGTTGTCTGATGATTGCGAGAGCATGAAACTGGACGTAGCAGCAAACAAGCTTTGATTGTCTTTGTTGTTCCGTTCTGTAAAAGTCTCCTGTAATAATACACACAGAGCATGGCCTTCATACTTGATGTGCAGCATGAATTGAGGCAGTAGTGACCCAGTAGCTTACCGGTAGCTATCAGGTAGTTTGATCCTGCTGTGACACTTGATATCTCCGTTGTGTGCCCCTTATTCAATTTGTCATCTTTCCACATTTCTTCAGGCAGTCGAGGGATTCCTTCACCCTTGCGTAGGTCCGAGTGAATGTTTATGTGAGGGTTGAAGCCGACCGAAACGAGTTTCAAACCCACCTTCAAATTGAAAACCAGTGGTCAGAGAGGCATAGACCAGTGGTGATGTGTGTGCGTGAGCACGTATGCACCAGGTACACGTCGTGTATGGAAAGGCATGCACGCGCACAGACTGACATCAAGCCACCGCCCAGTGCGGGCACAATTCCCTCACTTTGCAAATGAACTCAAGGTGCTCTCTGTATGCTCTCCGCATGCTCACAGGTTCATTACCGGTTACAGTGCAATCTTATAACCTATAATGTATATGTATATGGAAACACGTGTACTGCTATACAACATTACTTTCACCCAACCAATGTGGATATATAGTGCTGCACAGGTGACACACTATTGACGTGTTGAAAGGACTCGACAGGATTGTAGACAAAGCGACATGGCGTGGTGCTGCGGCCCCTCCCCTTTCAAGTTTACCCCCCCCCCCCTACATTCAAAATGGAAGACGCCACTGAACAATGCGTGGTTCGACTTGCTGACATAGATTTTCCACCTACGCAAGCTGATGCACTGCGCGCATGCAGGCACCAGCGAGTAGACCACTGTGGTCCGGGTGCATTGCTACGGCTGAATATATGTGTATGTGTGTGGCAACAATCCTGCATGTATCATCATGGCTATGTTCCATGTGTGGACTGCGGTAATGCAGATTTGCCGCACACCTACAGTATGCACCATGTCACTTTGTTCTCAGGAACCCGTCTTCAATTCCACGCCGGCTACAACCGCATTTTTTACTTCTCTAAACAGATAAGATATCAGCAGGCACTCAAATAATCTCCCATGCAGTGCGACTTACTGGACTTAGCCTGACTTACGTTGATCCGGGAAAGAGCCAGTGCGTTGACTTCGTCAATGAAGTCATGTTCACTGTCTTCGCGTTTCCTGCTTTTCTCTTGGGACTTGTCTCGTTCGTGTAGTTCCATGGTGGCCAGGTGTTTGGAGCAGTGGTAATTCCACATCTGAGTGCAAACACAAGTACCGAGTGCATATTGTGCATGCACAAAAGTGACACATGTGCACAACTTTGCAAACACACAAGAGGAAACAAGGAAAGCCTTCCGAATGATCTAATGTAAAGCCATTTTTTCAAAGTTCATCTCCCTAAACTTGTTCTTTAAAGAATTCATCTCTCTATTGCCGTCAACCTTGCAGAATGCAATCAAAATGATCACTGATGGCCTGAGCTATCCAACCGGAATGGGATTTCCCCCTCTACATTTGCAGTTCAACTAGTCACTGAGAGGTGGTGCCTGTACACTGTACACCGTACCTTGACTTGGCCATCCCTAGCCTGTACACTGCACACCGTACCTTGACTTGGCCATCCCTAGCCTGTACACTGTACACCGTACCTTGACTTGGCCATCCCTAGCCTGTACACTGTACACCGTACCTTGACTTGGCCATCCCTAGCCTGTACACTGTACACCGTACCTTGACTTGGCCATCCCTAGCCTGTACACTGCACACTGTACCTTGACTTGGCCATCCCTAGCCTGTACACTGCACACTGTACCTTGACTTGGCCATCCCTAGCCTGTACACTGTACACTGTACCTTGACTTGGCCATCCCTAGCCTGTACACTGTACACCGTACCTTGACTTGGCCATCCCTAGCCTGTACACTGTACACTGTACCTTGACTTGACCATCCCTAGCCTGTACACTGCACACCGTACCTTGACTTGGCCATCCCTAGCCTGTACACTGCACACCGTACCTTGACTTGGCCATCCCTAGCCTGTACACTATACACCGTACCTTGACTTGACCATCCCTAGCCTGTACACTGTACACCGTACCTTGACTTGGCCATCCCTAGCCTGTACACTGTACACCGTACCTTGACTTGGCCATCCCTAGCCTGTACACTGCACACCGTACCTTGACTTGACCATCCCTAGCCTGTACACTGTACACTGTACCTTGACTTGGCCATCCCTAGCCTGTACACTATACACCGTACCTTGACTTGACCATCCCTAGCCTGTACACTATACACCGTACCTTGACTTGGCCATCCCTAGCCTGTACACTATACACCGTACCTTGACTTGACCATCCCTAGCCTGTACACTGTACACTGTACCTTGACTTGGCCATCCCTAGCCTGTACACTGCACACCGTACCTTGACTTGGCCATCCCTAGCCTGTACACTGCACACTGTACCTTGACTTGACCATCCCTAGCCGCTGTGAATAGCAGACTGTTGGCCTCGTCCAAAGCCATGGCCGTAAGCGACAGGCCGCTGTGTGCATTCTTCAGTTCTGTCTGTCTTACACCGGAATACAGGTCCCAAACAGCAATGGTGGAGCCTTCACATCCGGTGATCACCTAGATACACAAAGGAAGAGAAGAAAAATGGCTGAGGCCGGACACAGGTAGCTAACGTAAGTCCTCGCCAAGTGAACAATCGCCTGTTGCACTATGATGAGGAAAACAATCCACATACGGAGCACAAGTATCCGCACGTCATCTGGACCGCCCATATTTGTCTGCATTTTGTGGAAAACTGAAGCGTAGTCTGCGTCACGTCACCGGTCCGAATTGGGTTTCTTCTGCCTAGCAAAGTTGAAAAGAGCTCTTCGGCATGAAGCTCGGTAAACTTGAATACGGTCAACTTGAGGGAGTCTGGTACGTGACAGTAAAAGGCTGCAATCCAGCCAGGTTAGAGTCACTGCTCTAAAGCTATGTGTAGGCAAAGACTCGAGGCATAGAGCATAGAGCATAGAGCATACAGCATAGAGCATAGAGCATAGAGCATAGAGCATAGAGCATAGAGCATAGAGCATAGAGCATAGAGCATAGAGCATAGAGCATAGAGCATAGAGCATAGAGCATAGAGCATAGAGCATAGAGCATAGAGCATAGAGCATAGAGCATAGAGCATAGAGCATAGAGCATAGAGCATAGAGCATTAGAGCGTTGAAAAACACACCATAGTCCTATGGACTTTAAAATGCATCCAACGCGTATCAAATGGTTTGGGTAACTGCGCTTGAGCATATTATGCACGTGCGTGAAAATCAGTGTTCCGCAAAATAGCACATGCCAGGAGGCATGACAGTAGTGGGAAAAGTTTGGGAACAATGCCCGGCACAAACAAGGAAGGTTTGGAAACACCGACACGCGCAAATAAGGAAGGTTAGGGAACAATGCACACCGTGGCACAAACAAGGCACAAACAAGGAAGGTTTGGAGACACCAACACGCACACACCAACACGCACAAACAAGGAAGGCTTGGGAACAATGGCGCACACAGAAAAGGCAGACTTGGAAACACGGACACGCACGGACAAGAAAGGTGGCATGACATACCTGTGCAAATTTCAGATTGTACTTGATGCATTTGACTGGACGCTCGTGGCTGTTATGCTGCGAGAAGCAAACAATAACATTGAAATGTATAATAACATTGAAATGTATAATAACATTGAAATGTATATTTTAAAGCCACGCTTTGCATAAGAGTCAATCCGAGACGGACTTTTCCAAATCCGCAAGAATTATGCTTGGGTAGATAACTAAAATTAGTGCAATAATGTTAGGATCAGGCACTGCCTGTAACTCTGAATCACATACATTTTGTTGGGGAAAGGCTAGAGGTATGGCATGAGATGTCACTATTTCCACTTAAAGCGGAAAAAAGAGTAGTAATATTTCCACTAAAATTCTCCCGAAAGGTGCCCAGTGGACCGAAGTGCCAGTAACTTCAGTGTCTGGATAACTGAGGTATAAATGCATCGACACATGTGCAGATTACTCGCTTCAATAGAGAGGCACATTCTCTAACTAAAGCACCATGGCCAGGCAAGATAACAGGAAACAGATTGCACGGAAAGGGTCCGTTCAAACAGGATCTTACTGGCAAGTGCAGGAAGTCTCGGTCTGACAACGGCAGCATGGCCAGGCCAGTACCACTGGCAATCGCTACACACCGATCATACTCGTGATAATTGACCGCCGTCAGGTCGTTGTAGATGCGATGCTCGCCTTGCCGCACAGTGAGAAGCAGTGAACCTTCGTGCACCTCCCACACCTGTGTGCACATTTCAGCACCAGATCAAGTGCCAGCTCAAGATAACGACATGACTTCCTGATCCGACTTCCCGATCCGACTTCCCCACAACCCAACCGTGACACAGAAAATGTAATAGAAAATTCCTTAATACAAAAGTAAAACGGTACTGTCGTGGATATTGAAATCCGGTGGAATGACCGTGGCCGGCGCCCTTACTGCCGTAGCGCATATACACACTATAACACTGTAAAAATGGACCAGCAGTGGTCACGGCTGAACGGCCAGCGCCCCGTGGCCGCTTGACTTCTCAATGGATTTCAATGTCTACAACAGCATTTTGTAGCAACACCCACTAACGTTACAGTTAAGTCGCATGCACATGCAAGCCCAGTAGACACTGCTGTTACACTGGATTACTGTAAGTCAACAAATATTCGGAGCATATTTATTTTCGGCTATTTTCGGCCTGGTCATGTTTGGCCGAAAATTTGTTGCGGCTGATATTTTGGTTTTGCAAAGTTCAGTGTGACAGTCACTGTGTAGACAGGCGGAAGCAGTACAGGCCGAAAATTTGATGCGGCCGAAATGGGTTTTAGCCCTGGGAGGCCGAAATTTGAACCTGCCAAAAATGTGTCGACGTACAGTGCTTACGTAGTGAAGGGTATGCCACAGTGTAGGGTGTGCCACAGTGTAGGGTGTGCCACTGTGACAGTGCAGGGTGTGCCACAGTGTAGGGTGTGCCACAGTGTAGGGTGTGCCACAGTGTAGGGTGTGCCACAGTGTAGGGTGTGCCACAGTGTAGGGTGTGCCACAGTGTAGGGTGTGCCACAGTGTAGGGTGTGCCACAGTGTAGGGTGTGCCACAGTGTAGGGTGTGCCACAGTGTAGGGTGTGCCACAGTGTAGGGTGTGCCACAGTGTAGGGTGTGCCACAGTGTAGGGTGTGCCACAGTGTAGGGTGTGCCACAGTGTAGGGTGTGCCACAGTGTAGGGTGTGCCACAGTGTAGGGTGTGCCACAGTGTAGGGTGTGCCACAGTGTAGGGTGTGCCACAGTGTAGGGTGTGCCACAGTGTAGGGTGTGCCACAGTGTAGGGTGTGCCACAGTGTAGGGTGTGCCACAGTGTAGGGTGTGCCACAGTGTAGGGTGTGCCACAGTGTAGGGTGTGCCACAGTGTAGGGTGTGCCACAGTGTAGGGTGTGCCACAGTGTAGGGTGTGCCACAGTGTAGGGTGTGCCACAGTGTAGGGTGTGCCACAGTGTAGGGTGTGCCACAGTGTAGGGTGTGCCACAGTGTAGGGTGTGCCACAGTGTAGGGTGTGCCACAGTGTAGGGTGTGCCACAGTGTAGGGTGTGCCACAGTGTAGGGTGTGCCACAGTGTAGGGTGTTCCACAGTGTAGGGTGTTCCACAGTGCAGGGTGTTCCACAGTGCAGGGTGTGCCACAGTGTAGGGTGTGCCACAGTGCAGGGTGTGCCACAGTGCAGGGTGTGCCACAGTGCAGGGTGTGCCACAGTGCAGGGTGTGCCACAGTGCAGGGTGTGCCACAGTGTAGGGTGTGCCACAGTGTAGGGTGTGCCACAGTGTAGGGTGTGCCACAGTGTAGGGTGTGCCACAGTGTAGGGTGTGCCACAGTGTAGGGTGTGCCACAGTGTAGGGTGTGCCACAGTGTAGGGTGTGCCACAGTGTAGGGTGTGCCACAGTGTAGGGTGTGCCACAGTGTAGGGTGTGCCACAGTGTAGGGTGTGCCACAGTGTAGGGTGTGCCACAGTGTAGGGTGTGCCACAGTGTAGGGTGTGCCACAGTGTAGGGTGTGCCACAGTGTAGGGTGTGCCACAGTGTAGGGTGTGCCACAGTGTAGGGTGTGCCACAGTGTAGGGTGTGCCACAGTGTAGGGTGTGCCACAGTGTAGGGTGTGCCACAGTGTAGGGTGTGCCACAGTGTAGGGTGTGCCACAGTGTAGGGTGTGCCACAGTGTAGGGTGTGCCACAGTGTAGGGTGTGCCACAGTGTAGGGTGTGCCACAGTGTAGGGTGTGCCACAGTGTAGGGTGTGCCACAGTGTAGGGTGTGCCACAGTGTAGGGTGTGCCACAGTGTAGGGTGTGCCACAGTGTAGGGTGTGCCACAGTGTAGGGTGTTCCACAGTGTAGGGTGTTCCACAGTGCAGGGTGTGCCACAGTGCAGGGTGTGCCACAGTGCAGGGTGTGCCACAGTGTAGGGTGTGCCACAGTGTAGGGTGTGCCACAGTGTAGGGTGTGCCACAGTGTAGGGTGTGCCACAGTGTAGGGTGTGCCACAGTGTAGGGTGTGCCACAGTGTAGGGTGTGCCACAGTGTAGGGTGTGCCACAGTGTAGGGTGTGCCACAGTGTAGGGTGTGCCACAGTGTAGGGTGTGCCACAGTGTAGGGTGTGCCACAGTGTAGGGTGTGCCACAGTGTAGGGTGTGCCACAGTGTAGGGTGTGCCACAGTGTAGGGTGTGCCACAGTGTAGGGTGTGCCACAGTGTAGGGTGTGCCACAGTGTAGGGTGTGCCACAGTGTAGGGTGTGCCACAGTGTAGGGTGTTCCACAGTGTAGGGTGTGCCACAGTGTAGGGTGTTCCACAGTGTAGGGTGTGCCACAGTGTAGGGTGTGCCACAGTGTAGGGTGTGCCACAGTGTAGGGTGTGCCACAGTGTAGGGTGTGCCACAGTGTAGGGTGTGCCACAGTGTAGGGTGTGCCACAGTGTAGGGTGTGCCACAGTGTAGGGTGTGCCACAGTGTAGGGTGTGCCACAGTGTAGGGTGTGCCACAGTGTAGGGTGTGCCACAGTGTAGGGTGTGCCACAGTGTAGGGTGTGCCACAGTGTAGGGTGTGCCACAGTGTAGGGTGTGCCACAGTGTAGGGTGTGCCACAGTGTAGGGTGTGCCACAGTGTAGGGTGTGCCACAGTGTAGGGTGTGCCACAGTGTAGGGTGTGCCACAGTGTAGGGTGTGCCACAGTGTAGGGTGTGCCACAGTGTAGGGTGTGCCACAGTGTAGGGTGTGCCACAGTGTAGGGTGTGCCACAGTGTAGGGTGTGCCACAGTGTAGGGTGTGCCACAGTGTAGGGTGTGCCACAGTGTAGGGTGTGCCACAGTGTAGGGTGTGCCACAGTGTAGGGTGTGCCACAGTGTAGGGTGTGCCACAGTGTAGGGTGTGCCACAGTGTAGGGTGTGCCACAGTGTAGGGTGTGCCACAGTGGCTCAACTCTTATCTCCCATTATGGACTTGTACAGATTGCCCATTGTAGCAATGGCTACACAACCCGTGCTCAAACATGCATTCTGCGTGCACATCTGCACACACTCATAAAATCTCACACACACACACACACACACACACACACACACACAGCTCTCTTCCATATCACCAGTGTCTTACTCTGATTGCCATGTCCGAAGACATACTAAGCAAGTGCTGCTCAGACTCGTTGAACTTGAGATAGAGCACGGCGCTGTCATGCCCCTTCAACACCATCGCGGGGCGTGCAGCCCGATGGATGTCCCAGAGGCGGATTACCCGATCCAGACCTCCAGTCGCAATGAAGCTGTTGCGCCTGTTTGTGGCCACAGCACAATGCAGTGTAGAGTAGTGTGGTGCAGTGTAGTGTAGTGCAGTGTAGTGCAGTGTAGTGCAGTGTAGTGTAGTGCAGTGTAGTGTAGTGCAGTTCAGAACAAGACACCAGCATGGGGTTATACGACAGACAAAGTACCGCTGCATGCACAGATGAGGACCGGCACAAGTACAAAACAGGTACACAACAAAATGCCATCACCCATCCAACAAACACCCAGTTGGGCAACCATGTCCATTTGTGTGATATACAATGTGTACATGCATCATGCTTGTGCAGACGTCTGTACGGATATTTCTAAGCTATCAACAGAAGGAAGACAGGAGGGAGAGGGGTATTACAGTCCATTCATCGGAAACTGGCCCGCTGGCTTTTGAAAGTCGGATTTGGGCCGAATTGAGGATCAAAAACCCACTTTAAATCTCAAAAATCTGGGTTTTGGATCTGCTTCTCCATACATTTTGCCATGGCATACCTGTCCTAATTTTGTAAAACCTGGCTGAATTTCTATTTCCCTGTTCTTGGACTTTTCTGGCCTCAAATGTGGCAAGGAGTAATTGCACGGGTCACATAATGCAGGATGTACTGTTGTTTTCACGATATCTACAACTATGTGAGAGAGACAACAAAAAGTTAGGGTGCCAGTTTCCAATGAATGGACTGTAGGGTACCTAGAAGTAGCAGGGTGAGGTGGGGAGGGGGGTCCCTGAATGAAGTAGGCACACGTGCCCCGCTTCTACGTGTTCGTGAGTTTACAAGGCCATGTGCATTCAACATGACTGACTCGTCCTATGAGAGGTTAAGCAATTACATCATTAGTTGAGGTGCTTTGGCAAAGTCGCAGCACAGCGCGTGCTAGCGATGCGCTAGCAACACACTGCCATGTACATAGCGCCCATGGGCGGTTCCGCTGGATACTTTCCACCCATAAGTTATTCCGGAAATCTGCTGAAGCATAATCATGACGTCTTTCGCATAACCTCCATCGTCTACTGGCATGATAGCTCAGCAAGACGTATTTTCCGGTCAGAGTACTACAATTCTACAATGATTCTAACTGTACTTGGTGCTCTACCATGTTCACACTCACTCCAGAGAAAAGTCGAATGACATCACACCCTGCTCAATCTCAATGATGATCTTGTTCCTGGCAATTGGGTGGGAGAGCGGAACTGGAGCCTTCCCTCTGGGCTGAATGGTAATTGGAAAATTCACATCAAGAATGGCAGAGAGAGGAAGATAGCGAGAGATACACAGTTTATGCAGGGCGTGATCAAGGTGCTCAAAATTTGACATGCGATATAGTTAAGCTGAAGGGAGCGCCATCTGACACAACTGCTTGCTTGCAAGCCTTCCGTCGCCACGGCGACCAACTGTTGCCTTGTACAGTTTGGTGCAAGCGTTCTAGTCAAAAATACTCGCTCATCAAGTGATGCAATGATAACGATCGCTAACCGTCGGAATAACTCTACATGGTCCCATGGAACACGGCCACACCAGACGTTTGGTAAGCATGTGTGATGGCTATGTCAGGCAGTTGGCTTATTCAAAGTCCAGTTAGTGGGACCACAGCCATTCAAGGCGTCACTGTTAACAGTCACAGTCCAACATCACCTGATGCTCTACTTGCTACACATACTTACCAGTTTAAGATGTGGGATGTCATCCAGTTCAGCTAAAAGCTTCATATTAGTGATCCGTTCAAAATTCACCATCACCAGTGAGGCATTCTTGTCACAGCTGACAGAAATGACATGACCCGTGCTGTGTACATAGCCAACATTCATTGACCAGTCATCATGGAACTTCCAACGAGAGAACTTCACCTGAAGACACGACGTCGCAGCATACACCACTAAACACTATGCATGTCACACAGCGCACTCTGTTACATGTACTACACTCTACAGTGCCAAACAGTGGAATCCGATGCCCTGATGTATCATGCACACCGCAGTGTAAAGTGCACGACCCCCCCCCCCCCCCCCACACACACACTCAAACCTACCCAGCCAAACCCACCCACCCAAACCCACACAAACCCACACAAACCCACCCAAACCCACCCAAACCCACCCATCTGAACCCACCCACCCTACTCCTGACGAAAAAATTGCCATCATTTCCTCAAGATACATTTGATACCAGACATTTCATATCCGGAGTATTTTGTGCACATAACCACTATTCAATGTGAAGAAGAGGTTGGTGCGACTCTGGCGTTACTTGGGGAATTGTGTGTTGCTCCCTACATGGGACCTCGCGGTTTTCCTGCCGACAAGTGCAAGTGAGAATTCAAGTCGGCAGGAAAACCGCAAGCTCCCATGTAGGGAGCAACACACAATAACCACTATTCAGCTTCACCAAATACAGCAAAAAAACTTGCCTGAGCAACTGACTGTGCAGATCTTACATGTAAATCGGGGTCCGGATCTTAGTGGCCCCAGTGTAACATGGTGTAATGTGCAATAAACAGTCAAATTTTAGACAGTGGTCACTTTTCCTCATGTATTTTAGATACCATCCGGCCCTTGGAATGATATCACCATAATGATGTCGTCTTGTTCCTGCAATGATATCACCTGGCCCCCGATCCAGTGCAAACAGAAAGCCCCCCCCCCCCCCTCCCCGCCCTACTACAACTAACATGTCCTCCAGCCATAGCCTTCTTGATGTGGATGCTCTCGGGCAGTCTGCCCAGCTTGCGTGGGATTCTCCATTTGGCGAGTGTGTTTGCAATGTGTGGAAAGAGTAGGATACTGACGCAGCCCAGTCGGTCTCCAATCAACATTGTCAATACTGGTATTCCTGGCTTGAGGTACACGCACAGACACGTAGCCACAGCTTGAAATCCTGTTATCTGAATGTACAAATGCGTTCACACGTACATACATACATACATACATACATACACACACACGTACACAACACACATACACGTACGCATACACACACACACACATACACACACAAAAACAAACAAATACACACACACATACACGCACACAACACACGTACATGTACGCATGCAGACAACATACATACATACATACAGTCCACACCTACAATGTAGCAAACACGGTACGTGACTTCATTTACTCAGTTTGAAAACGATCCGCTTGACTATCAACATGCAAAGAGCACAGCACTTGGCATTCACAGTGTAGCCTCAGGTTGACACTTCCATCAAAGTGATAGCCGCACTACTATCAGGGAGGTACTACCCAGAAACTAGAAGACAGTCAGGGAGGTGAGACCGGGAGCAGTACTGACATACTCGTATAACAATTGCAGAGAGGACAACAGGGATAGTCACTGCAGGCCACAAAGTGTACGGTGGACATAATTTTAATTAAGTGTAAGGGTTCCTTGAAAGCTAATGTGGGCCATGTTATATCATCTGTTCAGGCCATCAGAGACCCAATGTGCAGTGCAGGGTTTCACACTCCCAAGTTGCTTGGGAACCATGTCTTCTTTACTGCACAAAACGCATGCATGCAGGCATACACATAATAAACACTCATTTACTGTACAAATACACTAGTGTACACTGTACATCAGAGAGGCGAAGGGCGACTGTAAGGATGAACAAGGTGGGTTTTCACTCCCGGACTGCTCATCACAGTCGCTCTTGGGGCAGGGCCGATTTACACACGCTTGCACCGGCACGGCCTCACTTGTCTGGGCCATGCTTGGAGTGAGCAGAGCAGGTCCGGGCCGCAGTCGAAATTGCAAAATACATAGACCACGGATGGCGTAGAACTTCCAAACACGGGGTCGAAATGCACATCGTTTAGAGTACCATACATGGTCTCGTAGTGTCCCCCTAGATGCTAGGACTCCCTGTTCAGCATGTAAAAAAAAGTAAAGTTTGCACGTCCGCGTTACCACCGGTGTTGAGCATGTGCTAGTGTTAATTAAGCTGATCTTACTCGACCTTGCAGCTCCATAGTGGATCCATCAAAGAAGCAGACGTCACGCTCCGAAGTGATCAAAATGAACTTGTCCAGGGTGGGTAGGTAAGCCATGTCGATGACCCATATTGACTTTTCCTCCGCTGCCTCGTCTCTGTTGTAGATTCTCAGGTTCTGCTGGTCGGGCTTCGCTGAATGGAAAGCAATGAGCAAACCGGGTCTTTTCCGGACATGGACGGAAGCACACGGCTCATACACAGCAGAACATTCCGAACAACACTACACCTTACTAGACTGATCCCTAGCGGCTAGTATTCAAGAAGCTAGAATTAGAAGCATGTCTAGTCCATCATTCGGAATGTGACATAAAGCAGGACCTGGTGTCTCTAAAGGACGGACACCCCGACCTGTTTCTGTGATTTAAGGGCATCTCTTTCAGGCTACTTTGCACCGGTTTCCTTACCAAGTTTAGACCGGGAAGATGCAATTTGTCTCAAATGCAGTGCAGAGACAATTGAACAAAATGTTCTTGATTTGCGTCATTTCAATAATAATTATTAGAACGGAATGGCTGCAGTGGAGCCTGCGCATCCCTGCATGAAGTACTGTTTCTCCTGCCACGTCGTCTCATTGCTCACACCGCACTTTGCAAGACAGTCAGTCCTGTTTTCAAACGTAGCAGACTATGTAAACTGATGACAACAGATATGATGATACAATGCTGATCCAGCAAAATCCCCCGCCCTCTTCTATTGTGAACAGCCATGCTTCTAGCTATAAGTCTTACAGTCTTTGCACAGGGAAAATGGCTCCATGGTCTTGGCCAGGTTAAGCTGGCCGTTCTGGATCTGCCAGAGGCAGAGCACGCCGTCTCCTGATATGCTGTGGAACTCGCCAATCCTCGGTGCCAGGATACGCACGGTCCTCTCCGCGTGGAAGCCCTCGGCAAATGCCGCCGGTGTTAGCGCACAGAACTGCGAACAGCATGGAAATGCATGTCATGCTAAATACAACAGTGAGTCCAAGAGGGCTAAGATGTTAAATGGGGGGGGGGGGGGCGGCGGGGCAGGGGGTCATTTTGATGACGTTCACGGCAGGATAGAATCATGCATTGAAGCATGCATGGTGTTACATGTATGTCAACACAATGTGTTTCCATGTGTGAAAATACACACATGTGCCCAATGCAACTAGAATGTCCTAAAGAGGGGACTTTCCTGCAGGCATTTACTACAGCGACAGTAATCTTGTACCGCAGCTATGCACAATTCATCTGTTTAACTCGAACTGAAGACGGACTTGATAATCATCACCGCTGGGGTTTCCAAGCCAGGAATTGAAGGCTCATGCTACTAATGAAGTATTACTTATGAACTGGACAAATTTGCATGAAACAAGCACAATAACATCATTGAGGTCAGCTTCGGAATTTTTAAGATATGGTATGCTTTCCAACGGTCAAAGTCAGGCCATTGTCGAGCCACCGTGCTCACATCCGTAACTTCTGCGTGTGTTCTTGTTGTGAAAGTGGACCGCCCAGAGTAAAAGACGTCCTACTCTCTCCGTTTCATGCCTGCACGTATCGTGCGCAACTCCACCAACCTGTTGCTTGCTGTAAAAGTCATCCTTGCGTTCCATCTCTGATGCCACGTACATGCAGAACTCATCCCAGTCGATCCGGCCATTGCAATTCGTGTCCACTTTCATGAAGGCCACCGTCAGGTAGTGGTCAAGTTTGGAGCTCAGCCCAAGATCCTCCATCAGCACTTCTTTCAGTTCATCCATCGTCTTCACAAGCAAACAGAAGAAAAAGAGGAAACGTGTAGATCAGGCCAGTGAGCTTGGGAGAGGGATATATCACCACATTCCAGAATTTGCACGGCATTAGACCAATGTCCCGTGGCAGCACAATCAAGAACATTGAGAAGTCTGCAAAGCATGTGTGTATGGATGTGTATGGGTGTGCCAGCTAGTTTGATTGGTGGGTATAGTTATACCAGATAGTGTTGGGTCCGTTGCCAACAGGCTGGGCTGCTTGAAGGTGTAAAGTTGTACCTGCCACCCTTTGTTGGTTTCAGGGTTCATATACTTTCTATTGGAAGCATACATACCTGTTGACCATGGACTACTTCTGACTAGATTATCTCTTGTGTAATCAATGATGCTACAGTAAGTTACTGTTGGGCGCCGAAGAACTGGGGGGAGGTGATGGTTCTAGCCTAGCTAGTTCTTATTTTTAGCGAAAACAGCCGTTTCGTTCTTATTTGATCGTACTGTCATACATGTACATGATTGTACATATCATTGTATGTACGAACGTTTACTTGTGGACCGTAGATGATGCATATACCAGCACATCGGACCTACATGTATTTATGCAGAAAAAACTTCTGAGTGAACAATATAGTGCACATTCCAGTTCCGTTCTTATCTTCAAAAATTCAGCCTAGATCGTTCCAAAAAATTGGTGAAATTCTAGCCTAGTCGTTCTTTGGTGGTCCGACAGTGCTGTAGTGAAGCTTGTATCAGATCCATTCTGATTTAGCTGTCCCTCCAGGAAATCGCGATTCCACGGATGCAACAAATTTCGCGATTTTGGCCAAAACCCGCAAATTTCTGAAAAGTCCCCGATTTCCCGCGTTTTTTGTTGTTTTCTGCACTTTTCACGCAGTATACGAGTACATGTACAGTGCTTTCTATGATCCTGTACGTGGGTTATTTGCACAGTACGCAAATAGCGATTCTAATGATGCAACAAATTTCGTGATTTGGCCCAAATCCGCAATTTCCTGCCAATAATTCCGCGAGTTCCTGGCAAGTTCCGCACTTTTCGCCGCATTTTTTGTTGTTTTCTGCCGCAATTTCTTGCGCAAGTTTTCGATGACTTTTTCCGCAAATTCCCGCAGGGACAGATTTAGCCACCCACACTAGTAGTACCAAGTATTACCTTCACTGGGGGCAGGGGTTACTGCAGTTGGATCCCAGGACGGATACCCTGATGCCGTCAATCCTTTTTCTGTACCTTGCCCTCACCCACTTACTGAGATGTGTGCCCGTAAGTGGGACCATTTCCAAATTCACCCATAGTTTGAGGATTTCAGGGGCTGTCAGCCGTTGGGTTGTTCAATAGCCAATTGTGTCATCTTTCCAAGATTCCTTTGAAATCTCTCTCCCCTCTCCCGGGGAGACCCACGTGACCAGTTTTGACAGTGAGCAAGTACAAGTATGTGTGTGCCGCATGCGCAGTGTGTGTGTGTGTGTGTGTGTGTGTGTGTGTGTGTGTGTCCATGTGCATAATCACCCTTACCAGGCCAGCTTCTTCACGTGCCCTCTCAAAGTACCGGCGAATGTCCACTTCGGACAGAGATGATTTAGGATTCCCAGAGTCCTTACCAAGTTCATCCATTATTGCCACTTCATCTCTGAACAGCTCTTCAATCCGCGCAAGTAGCTTACTATCGAACACCTCTTGCAGGTGATTCAAGTTTTCCAGGGACAGCAAGTCCTGCATGAAAATCTGCTTCCCCTCACTGCGGTTGAAGAGCGCATCCTCGTCCATTTTGCGCAGCTCTGCGTGAGTTCGCAGCTGCAGCATGCAAAAGAGGAGAAAGAGCTATACATCATTACTATTTTGATAATCCAAAGGATGATAGAGGGTTTCTGAGGGATTACCAGGGGAATGTCGAGGATCACCAGGGGATTGCCGAGGATTACCAGGGGATTATCAAGGATTACCAAGGATTACCAGGGGATTACCAAGGATACCGAAGATTACCAGAGGATTACCAGGAATTAGCGGGGACATGGTAGCGACATGTGTCACACCACACATGCCTGGGATTTCAACTACTTCGAAGTAATTGTTTGTCCAAAAATCCAAAAATCAACTCATCAATTAGCATGGAACCCATCCTTATGATATCTAAGTGTCCATAGTTTGGGTTAGGCCCTGCCTTGAAGCGGTGCTTCATTGCGGGTGGCGCTTTCTTGAACTCACTGTCTTCGGTCGGAAGATTTCCCTCAGGCACGGTTGCTTATTGCTCTCAGAAGAAATCTGAAAGGGGTCCGTGGGTGTCCCCCGGCCTGGAGCCGAGGAGTAAGGTGGCAGCGCTCCCTTTATAAGCCAAAGCATTTTTAGGATTCTAAATCATTTCTAAGAGCCTGACACAATAGACTAGGGCACTTTCGTGAATAGTCCTAGTATGAAAGTGAAGATTGGTTTCAGTCGGTGGGTCGGAACGACCTGTAAAGATCAGAGCGATTGCGAAAAATCGGAAAAAGTGGCAGACCTGGCATTGTGGCAGTTAGAAGTGCAACAGGTGGGAGTTTGACCACGAGGCATCTCTTTCTTCTAGCCAAGCTGAGTGGATGAGGACAAACACAATTAGGGGATCAGTGTTTTCGCAGCACTCCTCCACTGCCCAGCGGGCTGATGCACGTCAGATATCCGTGACGCTGCTTCTCTGCCACTTTTCGAGCTCTCTCCCTCTCTCCCTCTCTCCCTCTCTCCCCTCCCTCTCTCCCTCTCTCTCTCTCTCTCTCTCTCTCTCTCTCTCTCTCTCTCTCTCTCTATCTCTATCTCTATCTCTCTCTCTCCCTCTCTCTTGTATGCCTGCTTGTGGTGCCCTGGAAGATGATTTCTACGTTTTATCCTGTTTCTCCTGCTTGTGGCTACAATTGTACTGGCCCATGCATTTTTTAAATCACTAGGGTCGGTAGTGGTGATTGGGATTTCTCTCCTAGACCACTACCTCTTGGTACCGAACTGGCGGTACCCTACAAATGAAAGTGTATTTCCATTCCGACCAAGTTGGCCTGGTGAATCCACAACATTCCGATCAGGTTGGCCTGATGAATCCACAACATGCCGACCAGTTTGGCCTAATGAATCCACAAAATTTTATAAAAATACCAGTACCGTCTGCATGCAGATTGAGTTTATCGATTTGAAGTACAAGCTCTTCAGGTCCCCACTTGGGCACATGCCTTCTGCCCTGACTTGGGCACATGCCCTCTGCCCTGACTTGGGCACATGCTCTCTGCCCTGATTACTCACTCCTCGTTCAACTGACACAGCAACAGAAACCGGTGTTAAAAATCACTGTGACAGAAGGAAAATGCCTTGTTCAGGAATGGAATATGAGCTAGGCTGTGGGTGCATTGACTACTCCTGACAAGTGCTTCAACTGCAGTAGTACATGTATAACAATTCAGGTCAAGAAATATCTGGGCTGTTTTATTCTCTCGTTTCAAGTCTGCTACATCGTGATATAGAGCGACCAAAACCAAACCAAAAGCATATGGACACTGGGGGTTTCGTGGACTGACATTGAAATCTTCCATGTAGTCCCGGCTGGCTTACCTTCCGTGCTTACAACCACGACATTGACGAGAATGTATAATGTCCATGTAAGGCAATAGAAGTGTGGTGACGGTACAGGTGGCTGTCAAGTCGAGTGTCATGGATGTATGATGGCCTCCAAATCTGACACGTTTGACAGGTTTGCATGCAGCAGCATGATAGTGAAGTACATGACTGTACAGCTATGTGCCGATTCCAGTTCCTTGCTTGCATACTCTCATTCTACACTGTCTCTACAGCCACCACTGAGTCACATAGACACGCCTGACACTTGCACGGCATATCAGTACTTGTACAAGTTCGTGTTCCCCACCGTTCCAGATCTCTTCGACATCGCTGATGTCCTTCAGCAGCTTCTGAGAGCACGCTTGTAGCCAACTTGTGCTTTCCCGCCAGCTTTTGATGTGTTACCCTGGATGTATAGCAGCTCCGTTTTTCAAGATTCTGCAGTGCTGAGCCTTTGATTATACTTGTAGAAGACAACCAGCCAGTTACTGCCAAGACCTATTGCTGTGGTCCATTTAAAGGATTTACCTTCATATTGTAAACTACTCAAATAGCAGACGGAGCTGCTTCATTTAAAAAAAAGGTGACTGCTCCTGGCTTAACAATGGATGCTGCCCATGGAAACACAGCAGAGAATGCTACTGACACCACGGAGGATGATGGCACTGCAGCTCAAACAGAGTACACTGAAACGCGCCTTGAACAGTTAGTAGAGAGAGCTAAAGAGATAGTGCCGTATGTGTGGTTAGTGGCCTTACCTAGGCCACCACAAGTATACCTGTTCATGGCTCTACTGAAGCATTCCCGGACATTTCCAGGCGGTTCTTTAACGTTACATTTGCCAGCCTCGAATAGGGAACCAAGAGAACCAAGTGAATGCACAGAAGACGACCGCCTGATTTACCGAGTCGCCAGATTCATTGCATACCACGGCAAACGGGCCCCACGGGATAGACCCGGCTATGTCTACATCTTCACATCCCCGAAAGCTTGGACAGATCATCCCTCCCATGTAAAGATTGGCATGACGGCGTCCGCAAATTTATCCCGGATACAGAAACAAAAGAAATGTTGGAGAGGTTACACATTGCGCCTACGTCAACGTGCAAACTACCACAAGCTGGCAGAGAAGGTTGTTCACAAGCTACTGAATACTGGTACACCAGCTGCACTGACAAGGGAACAGTTCCGTATCCCGTGTTACCATGAAAACTGTACTACCAGGAAAAACTTCATAGGAAACATGGAGCGCAATAGGAGCAATCGCATTGGTCACCATGAGTGGTTCACATGGGCGTCAGAGGAAAAAAGAGCGCAGTTGGTCCAGGATATTACCGATGAATGTCTCTCGCGAAGCTGGACAACGGAGCAGAAAACAGCCTTGGAGCAGAAAACAGCCTTGGAGCAGAAAACAGCCTTAGTCAAGTGTTTGATTGAGAAGGTGCTACGTGACCGCGACCTTAAGCACACCTGGCGGGTAAAAGCACCATCAGCTGGTGATGCACCCCTGGCCAGAGTACTTGAAATGCTACTAGTACAGATCAAACCCACTAACAGATGGCTGCAGAGGCAAATCAGCAAAGTGGTGGAGCAGATCCTGAGCTTGTTGCTGATTGCATACGCCATTCAAGTTGTGGAGTGGGTGATCACAGTAGTCAATGAACCACCACCTCGAGAAAGTCGCTAATCCTCACAAGCCAAGGTGTGTTTAAATATTCTGTTTGCTGCCCTCCATGAAAATAGCTGCACGTGCAGTTCATGGTTTCTTTCCATGTCAAGGCAGGGGGGGGGGGGGGGCTGTTAGCAACCGACCAGATCATTACCTAATGACAACCGACCAGATCATTACCTAATGTAGTAATGACCACCTTCACTTCTAGTTACAGAATAGCAGTGCTTTAGCAATCTGTGCCGGTTTCACGTGGTCAAATGCATGGGGCATAATTCTATTATCAATTTTGAAAGTCACTTTGTGACATTCAATGAACACATAGTTTGAGCATATATTCTGGTTTGTTTTCTCATATACATTATCCGATGTAGGTTCATTGATGACTGTTGTGGTTTGCAATCAACAACCACTGATATACAATCTGTATTGTTTTACGCACACGTCCTGTCAACCGCGTGCTTCCGACTGCGGTGTTGTGGTTTGTTAGCTAAAGCCTAGTTCACATTCGACACAACGCCGACGGTACGGGACGTAAGGGCTTGTCGGGAGGGCTGGGGTGAGCTTTAAAATCCTGTACGATTCGTAGATCTACGACACGTAGGGGTGAAACGAGTATCTATTTTGACCAATCGATCACTCGTTCATAATATTCGATCGAGTATCCGATTATTTCGAGTATTTTATCAAAATTCAAAAGCACAAGATTTGCGAGCTCTCGACCAATTCGGAAGAAATTATCTGTGAACATAGAACAAAAGTCGCCAATGTCTTGTACAGAGAGTAAAGTAACATTTTCATCAGTACTTTCATATCTCAGAACGTTACTTGCCGTGGTGATCGCATCGTCCAAGTCTTAAAATACTGACTCAAAGCCATGCATAACGCATGCATACCAGTGGACCAGCGGTACAACACAAGTTTTTGAAAAATAAAATGCCAATACTAAAAAAATAAAATAAAATAAAATGTAAATAATCGACGTGGAGACAACAATTTTATAATAGCTATAAAGAGAACAAATTCTGCTGTCATCGCCACACTACAACAAAGTCATGAAGGTTTACCAAAATCAATTTTCTTGTCACAATCATCAGTGGAAAGCCGTGACTGAAGAGTAACCATGCTGAATCAATGATTAATATACATTCAATAATGTGAAAAAAAGAGGAAAAAAAACCATCGAGTGCAAAATTTCGAATACTCGCTCGTTTGAAATTTTCGAACGAATACTCGAATATTCGAACTAATCGTTTCACCCCTAACGACACGGCATGCAGCAGTCGTTGCGACGTTCAACGTCGAACGGCGCGAGTCATAAGGCACGGTCCGTGACGGGGTGACTTTCGGACCTAATTTCTCGTTTTTCGGGACTTCTTTTCAATTATTTCTCCTTGAAAGAAGCGGAATCAAATTCACAATCCCGGTTTTTCATGAAGATCAAAAAATTAGCCCTGAAAGTTGTGGCATTCAAATAATAGCGCCAGGAAATGATAGAATAGTTCGTCTGTCACGCTTCTGAACTATCCCTAAATACAATAAGTGACATGAGATCTTATTTTGCTAAAATTCAACTCAAGTCGTGCTAGCCATTCTGTGAGTTATCATCGGAAGCGCAGTGTTCGAAATGCTAAAAATATCCAAGTACGAATTGGGAGTAGTCGGCGCACGACGCCGTCTCCTGTTCACACTCGAATTGCAGCCGTTTTGTACGCTTGCGTCCCCGTCTACGCCCGTCTACGGTATGAAAAGTTGGATCGATCCAACTCTTCCCGTGGCTTCCCGATCTGTACGGTAGTACGGTTGCGTTCCCGTTCCTGGTGTTCACATTGGACGGCGTCAGACCGTCCCGTCGCTTCCCATCGATCCTAAGGGCCGGGTTCCACTGCGGCTCCACTGCTCCGCTGCTCGTCTTTCGCGGCTTGAAACGTCATCATTACCATAGTGACCGCGGCTCGAGCTGGAGCAGCGAGGCCGCGGCTCACCGCGAGCTTTTGCTACGATTCTTGACCAAAAACTGCGAGCCGCAGTCGCGGCTCGACCTGTTTCCCGTACTTTGCATTGTTTCGTACGCCAGAATTTTAAAATTCAAAATTTTAATTCGTTGCGCAGGCCAGAACACGAGGATTTTTTGATTTCGCGCGCGCGCAGGCAGGTGAAACGTCATCAAAAAGTGTGGACCACGACCGCGGTACCGCCAATGGCGAGTGTCAGTGGAACCGCGCTGCTCCGCTGCATGCAGCCAAGTGCCGCGGAGCAGCGGAGCCGCAGTGGAACCCGGCCCTTACGTCGCGTCCCGTCGCGCCCGTCGAATGTGAACTAGGCTTTAGTGAACAATCAATCTAGCGTACAATGAATCCCGTACGATTTGGACTGCCCTGTACAGAGTACGTGCATGCAGCTTGCTGTTACCGTATTTCCTCGATTAAAGGGGAAGTATACCCTAAAATCAAATTTTCACCAGTTGTAGTCTTCGGGGTGCTGAGTCGAATGGTCTTGGTTCGAGGAAGCTAAGACGCTCCCTTCCTCCTTTATTCCCAATCGAACTCGCGCACTTCCACCGAAACTGGGTGACTGCGCCCTACTAGATGGGAATTTGTATGCAAAATGTCACTAAAAGCGCCATTTCGTTCTTATAAAAGCACGGATGACCGCCATTGGCCCATATGTTGTAGTCTTTTGGACGCTGAGTCGACTGGTTTTGGTCCTAAAAGGCTGCGATGCAGCGTTCCTCCTTTATTCCCAATCGAACATGATTGAACAAGCGGTCACGTGCTCCTGCGTACACCAGTCACCTGGTCACCGTGCCTGCAGGGTACAACTTACTAGCCTGTTTGACCTTTTTTGGGTGCAGTTCTGTCACTCGAGTTGAACTCGAGTTGAACCTTGGTGTGAAAGTTGTCGCCCGCTGGGCGCTGGCGCGGTGACCAGGTGATTTGGGCACCCAGGAGCACGTGACCGCTTGTTCAACCATGTTCGATTGGTAATAAAGGAGGAACGCTGCATCGCAGCCTTTTCGGACCAAAACCAGTCGACTTAGCGTCCAAAAGACTACAACATATGGGCCAATCGCGGTCATCAGTGCTTTTATAAGAACGAAATGGCGCTTTTAGTGACATTTTGCATACAAATCCCCATCTAGTAGGGCGCAGTCACCCAGTTTCGGTGGAAGTGCGCGACTTCGATTGGGATTCAAGTAGGAAGGGAGCGTCTCAGCTTCCTCGGACCAAGACCATTCGACTCAGCACCCAGAAGACTACAACTGGTGAAAATTTGATTTTAGGGTATACTTCCCCTTTAATAGACCCGGTCTTTTGTTTTTTGAAGAGGGTTGGACCCCCGGTCTCTTATTTGGGCATGGTCCATTATTTGAGCACGGTCCACTATATTTTCATCGGCACATCGCTGGAAATGGTGGATTTTTAACACGTCATAATATAGAAGTTTTTTATTATGACGTGTTAAAAATCCACCATTTCCAGCGATGTGCCGATGAAAATATAGTGGACCGTGCTCAAATAATGAAAGAAAGCACTAGCCACTACAAAAATTGTAGTTGCGCAACCTAAAATCGCGTCCTTTTTTGATCCACCACGTGCTTTCTTAGTGCGCATGCGCAAAGCGATGAACTCAAATAAGAGACCGGGTCTCTTATTCGGGCATGGTCTACCAATTTTCCGTGAGGCCTCTAGGAGGGTCTACTATTTGAGCATGGTCTATTATTCGAGCATGGTCCATTAATCGAGGAAATACGGTATGTTCCGGAGTCTTCTGGATTTATCACCTCGTGTTCTTGTAAATAAAGTCAGTTGCGATCTGAGTGATCTCGAGAGTAGACTGGAGTTTTAGGTGCGTTCTCGGAACGCAACAATGACCATCCAAAAAATGTTTCTGAATTCTTCTTCACATATTTTATTCAATTAGTCCTTCATGGTGTTTTTGAGTAACGAAAAGGTCTTATCCTCCC